AACTAGTTTGCCTGTCCTCGACCATTGGCCCTACGTCGGTGACGTCCGTCATGCTGCCGGCGACATCGCCGTCGTGCGAAACCTTGGTCCGAGTCCGCTTGTCTTGCTGTCCGCGCTTTACCCCGGCGCCCGGCATGGATTGTAGCTCACCGCGCAAGTGTTTCGCTCCCGCCTTTTCGCCCCCAGTTGTCCCAGGTACGAGCTCGATCGTCTGGGAAAAGGCGACAGGATGATCCTGATCCGCGGTGCGAGTCTTCGCGCTGCCAGGACGGCGTCGAAGGCGGACTATCTGATTTTCGGGTCGGCCTTCGGCTTCGAAGCCCTCGCCATCCCCCTGTGCACCGGGTGAGTGTTCCGCGCCCGTGAGGTTTGATCCACGCCGACCGCGTTGCTTGTTGTTCCCGGACAGAACCCTGAATGTCTCCATCATGCTTGTGTGGGCAGTGGCGGACCTCTTCCCGGCAAGCACTGCAACGTCCTGCTTGTTGTGCGCCCTGGCGACCTGCTTTTGCCCGACGACGAGGAGATCGGGACGCTCTACCGCCACCTCGACCCCAAAACCTCCTCCAAGCGGCACGAGGAGGAGGCGGCCAACGTTTTGAGGTGGGACAACGTCGACGGCTAGTCGCGCCGCTCCTTAACGGCGTTCATGCCGCCTTGTCTGATGGCTCTTTTCCGTCTCGTAGCGCAGGTTTTTCGGCGAATGCGTGAAGGCGGAGTTGAACCGTGGGGGAAGGCAGTGGACGGCTGCGCCTCCTTCCGCCAAAGTCCTCTCCGAACGTCTGGAGAGTCTTGCCGCCCCCATCCGTGATGTGAGTTTCCAGCGTCCATGTCGCCTTGTCGCCTGGGCTATCGTCGTCCAGGCGTCGACTCACCCTTTTTATCGGCGCCATGTGCTTCGGATGTTGATGCAGAAATTGCCGGACATCCTCAAGGAGGAGGTCGCCGGCATGGGGCTGTTGGCGGTCAACGCGTTTGCGTGGTCGTTGGAGCATCTGGACGACGTGCATCGCAGCTACGATCCGCTCATCGTCGAGAACCCGAAGATGGTCGGCTTGAAGGCGCTCCGACTGGAGCTGCTGCACCACGCGGAGAAGGCCGCGTCGAACAAAGGGGAGGCGGCGTCGACCGTGGGCCGTGGCGTCGGAACCGGCATCGCTCTGGGTGGGGAGGAGGAGCACGAGAGGGAGGACGTCGAGGGGGGCGGGGAGCACGACGGTGGCTCGGAAGAAGAGGAGGACGTGGAGCGTGAGGAGGACGACGTGGCTGTCACCGGCGAAGAGAAGGCAGTACAGTTTGCTGGTGAGAAGGTTGCGGATAAGAGCGGCGGCAGCGGACCCAAGTTGGGCAAGAAGGCCCGGGGCAGCAGTGGCTCGACCTCGACTAGGATGGCGTCAAAGGCGGCTATCGAGCGTCTGAAGGCGGCGGAGAGGGAGATCAAGAAGCTGAGGGAGGAGAAGCTGGTGGCGGAAAAGAGGCTGGAGTTCCAGACGGCTCGGAACGACACGATGTACGGCGTGGTCACCTCGGCCGTGAACAAGCTCACTACAGTCGCCGAGGGCGTGACCCATCTCGAGCAGACGTCGGGGAGGAGCATCCAAACGGCGGTGGACGCTATGAGGGCGGTCGTGCAGGAGGCGGTGAGCTATCGCGGCTCCACCCTAGAATTCATGAACACGCAGTGGCTGCCCACCGTGCAGGCCCTGCACTTGACGACTACTGCTGCACAGGGTAGGCGACGGGAGGACGACCTCCTGCTGCTTCGAGGTGTGGCAGATGCTCTTGGCCAGAAGATCAAAACAGTCGTGTCTGCCGAGGTGAATGCCGCCATGGAGGGCGAGGCGCAGCGGATCGCCGCTGCCGTGACTGCGAAGGTCGTCCAAGAGCTTAGGGATGACCTGGTGAAGGCGGTCACCTCCGCGACCCAACAGGGCATTAGCACCGCCGGGTTTAGCCTCCTCCCAACTGCTCTCGCGTCGGTGATGCACGGCGGTCGCGCAACCGCCGAGGAGAGTGGGCCGGTCCCAAGGCAGTCGGGGAAAAGGGTCGCCGACGAAAAATCCCTGACCGGCGACCAGACCAGCGGCTCTAAGCGAAGCAGAGGACCTGCGGTGAAACGCGGTGTGGGCGTGGATCCTCCTGCCCCTCCGTATGTTCGTATCCCCGACGTCCACGACTTGCTGAAAGATGGACTTGGCGCGCGACCGAGCGTAGATTTTCGACAGGTCGACGTCGCGCTCCAGGATCCTCAGTCGGTGGTCGGGAAGACCGGTGGGCAGCCCGTGGGGGACAAGCAGCCACAGGCCCCGACCGATCCGCCGAGTGCACACGACGCGCCACCGAGCTGCGACCAGGTGAGTCTGGCCGACGAGCTCATGGGAGAGGCATCCGTGGTCGCGAAGCAGGGCTGGCAGCCAACGGCGGACCAGCATCCACACCCCGAGGCCAGTCCGGCGACTGCACAAGGCGCTCGACCGAGCGGCGGCGCCCAGATGGCAGACGACATGCACGTCGCAGCGGTGGTCGGCCAGGCGCGCGGGGAGCCCGTTGCGGTCCAGCATGTTCAACCCTCGACGAGTACGCCGACTGCGCGACCGACCGGCGTCAATACGCAGCTGCCCGACGACCTCCTGCGCCCCGCAGCGGTTGTCGGACAGCAGGGCGGGCCGCCCGGTGCGGGCCAGCATCTTCACCCGTCGACGAGCACGCCGACCGCACAAGACGCGCGTCCGGCTGGCGTCACGGCGCTGTTAGACGAGCTCTTGCGCCCAGCAGCGGTGGTCGGACAGCAGGGCGGGCCGCCAGGTACGGGCCAGCATCCCCCCACCGCGATGAGTCCGGCGACTGCACAGGACGCGCGTCCGGCTGGCGCCACGGCGCTGGTCGACGAGCTCTTGCGCCCAGCATCCGTGGTCGGACAGCATGTCCAGCAGGCCGCGGCGGGCCAGCATCCCCACACCGCGACTAGTCCTGCCACTGCACGTGACGCGCGACCGGGTGGTGTCACGGCGCTGGTCGACGAGCTCTTGCGCCCAGCAGCGGTGGTCGGACAGCATGTCCAGCAGGCTGCCGGTGCGGCCACCTTACCCGTTCATGGGGCCATGGTCGCCGCGGAACCGATCCCGATCCCAACGGCTGTTGAGTCTCGGGCGGTCGAGGCTCTAGTCACTCAAAAGCCATCGTTCGATGAGTATCTGAAATGGCTCGAGGATCAGGGTCAGAAAACCCCGGTAATTCCTCCGACTCACAGCAACCAGGCGGTCGACCAAGGAGCAGAGGCAGCGAACGTCGCGGCGGCGACTGCAGGGCCGAGTGGCTCAACGGTGGAGGCGGCTGTGTGGAGAGCGGCGGAAGAGGCCGGCGGGGTGGACGAAGAGATCCTTGCCAGCATCGTGATGCCGGACCCGGAAATTGAGGTCATGCGGGAAAAACTACAAGCAGCAGCTCCCACCGTGGGAGCGCAACAGGGTGCACCAGCCGCCTCGACTGCTCCTGCAGAGGACCATAGCGCGGCTGGCGCCAAATCCCCCCCGGCCACAACCGGTGAGGTCGGCGATGGGAAGCAGAAGCGCAAGGGCAAGGACAAGGCAAAGGGCGGCCCGGCGAAGGTCGGCTCTTCCAAGGGGACGTCCAAAGCGGCCGCGCAGGGTCGGAAGGGTTCAGGCGTCCGCGTTGACCCTTCAAATGGGCTGGCCGTCTCCGAGATGAAGTTTGGGAAGAAGAGCCGTTACATGTGCCGGACGATGGACAAGTCCGAGGCCGCCTACTGCATCGCTGTCGCCGTTTCGTCGTTCGACGGCTTCGTCAGCGACGTGGTTCTCGAGGAGTTCGGTGGGGTTAAGGAGGAAGTGATGGCGCAGTATAAGGCGGACTGGAATGTGGCGCGATTGATTCCGGGGGGCATGTGGATGGTCATGTGGAGCCGAGGGGCGAACGTCTTCCGCGACAGGTAAGCTTGGCGAATGCTCAATTTGGTGCTCGTTTCGGTCGGTTCGCGTGGGGCGGTTGGTGGCGGTGGGTATTCCTGCTGTGTTTCGCAGGTTCCAACAGGTGGTCGCGGAATACAACAGGATAACCGGAGCCGACCGCGCAGCTCTCATGTTGGCTCTTCGCCCGACGGTGTGGTTCGGCGACCTTCCGGAGTCGACCGAGCCCGAGAAGGCCGCGAAGAAGAAGGTGGCGAGCGACATGATCGCACGCGTTTTGATGTGTGCCGCCTTCGCACCGGTGGCCGCGAAAGTGACGCCCATTCCGGGCGTCGGGTCGGAGCGGTTGTCCGAGATCCTCGCCGGTACTGCGGCCGCGGTGTGGTGTTTTTCGGAGACCAATGCCACGGCGGAAGTAGCGGCCGGCGAAGGGGGGGCGGCAGCGACCATGCGCGGAGCGTCCAACGAGTTCGCGAGTCGGTGTCGGACCGTCATCGAGGCGGTGCTTCAGCGGGCGGCCTCCCGGGTGGTCGTCGTAGGGGAGGTCGCCGAAACGGTGACGGAGGACCTGCAGGCGGCTGTGGTGAGGTCGTTGCCTGAGGTCGGAGAGGAGCGCGAGCACGACGAGCTGATCGCTCGTGTCATGATAGAGAACCTCGCCTTTTGGGGGGACTGCAATGTCGGAGGCCCGAAGCTCAAGGCTCGCGGCGTCGATTTGCCTATCGACCCCCAGATGAAGATTATCATTCGGGACAGGGGGACGAGGGGGCAGCAGCACAAAGGGAAGCAGGTCGCCGACGCCTAGGTCGACGAAGGCTGGCCCGCCTGCTCGTAGCATGGTCGGCGTGGGTGCAAACGCTGCAGGCTTTCTGAGGAAGACCTACAAACGCTGGCCCGACCGCTCGTGAGATGGTCGACGTGTCCGGTTTCGGGTGCTGTTTTGTTCTTTTGTTGTGCCTCTCCGGCTTAGGGATTCTGAACTTGTTCGTCGGTAGTTTTTCAGAAACGTTGTGAAGTAGGTTTTGTGGTGTGGAGTCGGTTTGATGCATGAACAAGAGACAAACTTCTACTAATTTACAAATCTACAAGTCGAAACAACGTTGGCAGTAAAAGAAAACCATATAGGATCACTAGAACAGGTCGGACACGCTCAGAACACCCCCAGCCCACTCTCACCCTGCCCTCAGCCCGCCCTCGGCCCGCCCTCAACCCACCCTCAGTCACACCACGCCCAGCCAGCAGCACAAGTTGGACCCAGACGCAGTACCCTCGGCCCGCCCTCTTGCGCTTCCCTGCGCCGATGGCTCCTGACGTCGCCTCGGCCTCCAAGCCGGCCTTATTGGCCTGCTCATCCCACAAGTCGCCGAAGAGCCTCTTTCCCCAGTCAGCGTCCATGTAGCCCGCCGTGACCACGCCCCACGCAATGGCGAGCTTCCTCGCCAGCGGCTTGTCCAGACCCTTGATGCCGACCGACTTTCCGTCGGCTGTGGTGGGGACCTTGATGGGCGGGGTTGCACGGAGGACCAAGAGCGCGTCGCTGAAAGTGGAAAGCCCCGTTCGCCCCAGGTGGTCGAGTAGCTTGATGACGGCGGCGGTGTCAGCGGCGTCGTCGCTCCGCCGCAAGTCGTGCACCGCTTCCATGATCCGCCTCGTCCGGCGAGCGCAGTGCTGCAGCGCATCGTTTTTCCCCGTCTCACCCACCTCGGTCGTGGGACGAGAGCTCTTCGCCGACTTCGCCGACGCGGCGGGTTTGTCGCCCTTTTCGACCTTGCAGATCATGCGCGTGTGTCTGACGAGGAATCTGTGCTCGTCGTAACGTTCGCGCAACGGACGCGAGTCGAAGTTGGACGGGTTGTTCCACCAGCGCCATGCAGCCTCGACCGTCTTGGATGTGCGCCAGGGATGCACGACGTTGACCTCGTACGTCAGATCATCGTTCTGTTCCTTCTCGATCTTGACGGACGCTGCCTTCTCGGCGGCGGTCATCGGCCTTGACGGTGCCGGCGCAGTCGGCGTCGGCCGTGCCTCGGCCAGCTTGAGAGCCTGCATCAACTTCGCGATCTCCGCGTCCTTCTCCTCCAACTTCTTCTGCATTTCAAGCTTCTCGATCGCGGCATCCTCCCTCTGGCGGTGCAGCATCATGGTGAGCTGGTCGACCTGATATTCGGCGTCAACTCGCGCGCTGAATTCCTGCGATCCAAGGGGGGTGGTCGGCAAAAGGTGAGGCAATGTGGCAGGACGACTTGTTTTACAGGTCGCCGGAACGCGCACGCCGTACCTCTTGGGGGTTCTCGCTCGGAGTACTGCGCGTTGCGATGGTTTCGAGGTCCACCCGGTTGACGTCCTTGGCCCATTTCTGGAAGTCAGGGTCGCGGCAGAGCTTGGAACTCTGGACGTATGGGTGCCACGGTTCGCGCATCAGCATGCACGCAAGATCCTCGGCAACGATTCGGCGGCCGAACTCGATGAGCGATTGCAGGAAGTGCACCCCGGCCGTGTTGGGCTCTCTCGCGGATGCGCACCTTACCGCCTGCGAGTCGAACACAAACACAAACACAATCAGCCGTCGGTAGAATGTCGTCGTGGAAATGGTCGGCGGGTTGTCGGCGTTTTTGTCGTCCGAAATGCTCACCTTGGCCAGTTCCGCTTCCGCCCACGGAAAGATGTGCTGGGCGATGAGGGCCACCACCTTGTCGTCGGGCTTCACCATGCTCCGGCCGAGGTGGTAGTCGCCGCGCTTGCCCGTGTAGCCGGCCTTTCTCAACACCGCCGCCTTCGGGATGGTCGTGATGTAGCTCTTCGCGAGCTTGTCGAGCGCCCAGTGGCCCAAGTCGGCGATGTCAGATCGCAGAACGCCGTCGTCGGCCAGCTCCTGTGCCCCACCCGCCCGAGCGGTGTGGGTGTTGCGCGTGATGAAGATCTTGTTCGTCCGCCACATCTCTTTCGTGATCCGAGAATGAGATGAAGCCGGCAGCTCTTTTTGTGCCTTGTCGTTCCGAGCATGAAAGAGGTGCTTGTGATACCAGCCGTACGGAGTTGTGAAGTCGAGGGGCGGCACACATCGAGAGGTGGGCGAGCGGCTCAGCTGGTCGTACACGAAGTGCAGCCACAACAGTGTGTGACCGACGGCGCACATCTCTTGCTCCAGGTGTCTCGCCGCGTAGCTATGATGCAGACGAGCATCCTTGTTCGTCTTGGAGTTTCGTGACGCGACGACCATGACAACCGGCCGTCGCGTGGAGTGCTCGGGCGACGCGTTCCCCATTCTGTACAAAAACAGGTCGGGGAGCTCGATCGCTCGGAGACTGCCTCCGCGGAGAAGGGTGTGGTGACCCAAGAGGGTCATCGTCTTCATCAGCAGAAACTTCCACAGTGTCTGGGAGGGGGTGGCCGCCTTGGGTTCGTACGCCCGAGCTGCCCAGGTCGGCAAGACCTTGAACATGAGGTGGCGGATCTGGTCGGTGGTGTACGTGTCGCCGAGCGTTCCGCGGTGCCGGTCGACGCAATCCCTGCACATCAGTTTCCACGAGGACTGGGTTAGCTGGGCGAACCGGGAAACAGGCGTGAACCGCGCGGGACGACTTGCCGACTTACCTGTCGTCCCTGTGCCACTTCTCTCTGATCATCGCGCGCACCTCCGAGCGGACCTCGGAGATGTCGTACATGATGTGGAGCTCCTTCACCCCGAAGAGCGTCCCCTCGACCTTGCAGGCTGTCTGGAGCGCTTTGATGCGGATGAGCAGCATCGAAACGGTTGTCGGCTTCAGGGGCTGGACACGGACGTCGGGATTCAGCTCCTCGAGCTCCTCGGCCTTTGCAATACCTTCCTGCCTCGCGATTGACAGAATGTACGCCCTGATCCGCGTGGCGTTGACGCAGGGACCGTGCATCCATTGTAGGTCGCCCTTGGCGGTGTGCCACTGATCACCCATGTCTTCGTCGATGTACCTCCCTATCTCGTCCTCGTGTTCCAGCACGCCGTCCCCCTTGACTCTGGCGGTTTGCTGTCTTGGAAGGTTCGCGCAGCACCATCTCCTGAAGTCGAGCAGCGCCCGCAGGTACTGAAACCGGGTCGTTCTCGCCTCCAGCGTGTCCAGATGCCGGAAACCCCACATCATCCTCAGCAATCTGTTCTTCTTGGCGAGCTCTTTGTTGATGTCGAAGGCGGCTTCCGCAAAATCGTCGCGCGGAATGTTTTGCAGGAAGGCGTCATCTTTCTCGTCGGCTGCCAACAAGTCCTCTACGGCCAGATACATGTAGTCGTTTTCTGGAAATGGTCCAATTGGCGGCGGCTGCTCCGTGTCCGAACGCGGCGAGTACCGGTCCGGCTCGGGTTCGGGAGCCCCTTTCGTCCCTGGCGGTAGGGGGATGGTCGGGTCGGCGGGAATTTTTGCCCTAGCGGCATCTACGTCGACCACCATGTCGGCGGGAATATTTGCCTTAGCGGTGTGTACATCTTCCTCCATGAAAGGCTCGTTCAGGTCGGGAATCGCGCTGCTCCCCGCCGGCGGCGCGACGCCAGCCATCTCGGCGGGTAGAGTTGTTCCCGTCGGCCTCTAGTTGTCGCCGCGATTTCGCGGCGGTACGTGCTCAGCCCACCAAAGTCGATACTGCACAATCGCTGCCGTGTATTGCCTTCGCACCGTGGCCCTAAAGGCCGCCCGTCTTTCGGCCCTCTCAACGTTCTCGGCGATCGTCAACTCCGCGGCAATGTCGGTCAGTTCGGGAAATTCGGGAAGTAAGGGCGGCGGATTGGTGTTCTGCTGGGTGATGTTCGGAGTGGCCGTGGTCGGCGGCACAATGGTCGGCGGGGTGTGAAGTGGCAATGTATCGTTCGGCGGGGTGTTGTCCGGCGGGATGTTGTTAGACTGGTCCCTGACCATTCGAGGCCGCACGGGGGATCACCGGCGATGACAATACTGGTTGTGGGTTTGAAGAAAGAGGTCGGCGACTTTCGGTTGTTGTCGACCTAGTTAGTCGTCCTAGTCGGAATGATCCTAAGTCGGAAGCCCGTAAAGTTTGCCGACCTAAACGCACTCTACACCGGCGTGGCTCGTCGTCGACCCTGCACCACGCGTGGTCGGTCGGTCTCCGAGAAGCGTGAAAATGATTAAGGGAAATGTGGCTCACCAGAATGGAAATGAATGCAACGCAACAAACAAGTGTCGAAATGCCATGGACACTTGGCCGTCAGGGGGTCATAGCATAGAGAGGCACAGTCGCGGTTCGGGCGGACAGGTGTTGGCGGGCGATCCGTGGGCAGGTCTCCAACTCTGCATGCAAGGCAGAACGGCACGGCGGCGCAATGGTCGACGTGGCACGGGGCACTCATGTCTTTTTCGCAGCCGACTGTCCGGTGTTCCCGTCACGGTGAACCGTGCTTACACGTCGGCGTGACGCAGCAGTGCTCATCGCGTCGCCCGACAATGGTATCCCGCGGGGACGTTCCCGCCAGCAGGCCGGCGAAGGCTTGATCGCCGCGTGGACAGACGTTTGCCGATCGATGTTCGCCGCGTGGAATGTTGTGTTTCGGATGGGCGACGTGTGGCTATGCGCGCCAGCACAGTGGTCGGCCAGAATTCGCGGTGGGCCTCACGTCGCAGTCCGCGCCGATGGCTAGGTGGACGTCGTGGCACGCTGGCCGCGACCGGCGTCGTCGACGTGTCGACCTCGTACGAAGGGTCCGTTGAGAGGTGCTATCGGGGTATTTTTCATCGGGATTGCCGGGTGACGCAGGGTGACGCTCCTCGCCCAGGACGTGCACTCAGTTAGCCGGACAGGATGACGCAGGGTGGCGGATCCCTTTCCCGAGCCGCGTCGTTTTTGCACCCGGATGTAGTCGGGGCGTTGAGATATACCATGCTGTCCTCTGCTGCTCAACACAAAGCTCAAACCACGCCGTTGCAAGGAAGACTCCACTCTGCGCCGTGCACTAATAGCCTGCCGGATAAGCACTAGTTTCGTAACAACGTGCGCCAACACCGTCACGGTAGATCCACGATTGTAGTCTCGATCGGCTCGTCGTGTCAAGGTGTCGCGGATTACTAGCAAGTCGTGGCTCAAATGTACGAGTATAAGAGAAGGTGCAAGGTTGCTGATTCCGCCCTTTAGTTAAAAATAAAATGTAAAATTAAGGATTATTTTTTTATGACAATTTTTGTAAGGTTTTGTAAAACTACAGCTCTGTTACCAGCTGTTACCACTTGAGCACTTGACAGTACTGCCAGTCTAAACACACCCTAAGACTTCTGCTGTAAATGGATTTTATGGTCTTACCAGAGATTTCACTTGAGCTGTTTTTGCGAAGTAGTTGCTCAAGCCATGGCGGAGAGGTGTGAGGAGCCGCTAGAATACAGAAGTCAATCCGCGACCATGCAGGATGTCCACGTACAATGTGCAGGATGTCCATGCGATGCTAGTAACGAACACGACGAGCGCGCGGAAGTGGTTACCAGCGACACGCACGACAGCCTCCACATCTACCTCCTCGCCACCGGGCCTCGCGATTCCTCAGGGAATTTAAATTTTAGCAGCCCGTCCCAGCAGCAATACCGCGTGATCGTGAAGCGTTCGCTACGCAGGAACCGCCTCAAGCAGACTAAGAACGGTGGTAGTGGGTCTCAGGATCAGACGAACCGACGGACGGCATCAGCGGAGCGGCATCTCAGTGTGATATCTCAATCCGACGGTTCACAACGCGCTCGACCGCATCACCGAACGTGGGGATGGCAACGGTCGCTCGAACAACCAGGCGCGTTACAAGCAGGACCGTTATCTCGTTTAGGGATGCATGGATTTCCAGGACTGGTGGGTGGGATCGCTCTGGCCTTGCGAAGTCCAGTGGCGAATGCGGCGAAATGGCTAGGCGATGTGAAACCCCAACCGTGCGCTCCCCTGATCCAACCACACTCACCGAACCTGATCCAGCCTTCCGAGCCTGCTCGGCTGCTCTGGTCCTCCGCCCGGCTGCCCGCAGCGGCAGCGGCTGCTGGCGGCGGTAGTGCTGCACCGGTCGTGCAGCGAGGAATCCTAAGGCCGTTTGGAAGTTTCAAGGTGCCCGAAAAGCTGCCCGCAGCAGCACACGGGTGTGGCAGTGCTGCTAATGTCATGCTGAAAGGAGTGGGAGTGGGAGTGGGAGAAGATTCAGGGGCCTTTTGGCAGATTCAGGAGGTTCAGGAGGGGTTTACGCTGCAGCTGTCCGCCCCACTCTCCTCCTCCTCTCTTTCTTCCTCCTCTTCCTCTCTTTCCTCGACCTCGTCCTCCTCCTCCTCCTCCTCCTCCTCCTCCTCCTCCTCCTCCTCCTCCTCCTCCTCCTCCTCCTCCTCCTCCTCCTCCTCCTCCTCCCCACCACCCTCCTCCTCTCCAACCCGCTCTCGCCCTTCCCCCATGCCCATGCCACCGCTGCCATCCCTCCTCCCCACGGACCAGCAGCAGCGGGTGGGCAGTGGGCCGGCGTTCATGGGCAATGTGTTTCTCGTGGCGGACCCCTCCAAGCGGGGCATGCTGGGCGTCAAGGTCGAGCCGTCCCCCTTCACAGGGATGGGGGAATGGGTGGGGCAGCAGCAGCAGAAGCTCACAGGGTGAGTCATTTTGTCGGTGTGATTGGGTGGGGGTGATTGAGGAGGGGGCTGGGGGAAGGGATTGGCAGCACTGCACGGCACTGCATCATTCCAGCGGATGGGGCCACCATCATGGGGGGACCAGCGTTCATGGGCAATGTGTTTCTCGTGGCAGACCCCTCCAAGAGGGGCATGCTGGGCGTCAAGGTCGAGCCGTCCCCCTTCACAGGGATGGGCGAGTGGGTGGGGCAGCAGCAACAACAGCTGCAAGGCTGAGTGGTTGGGATGGTTGCGGTGTGGTTCGCGTGTTTGTGCTGGGTGAGAGTGGTTGACCCCTCCAAAAGGGGCATGCTGGGCGTCAAGGTCGAGCCGTCCCCCTTCACAGGGATGGGCGAGTGGGTGGAGAAGCAGTGACAGCATCTGTCAGGGTGAGTGGTGGGAATGGGTGGGGTGTGGTTCGCGTGTTGTGTTTGGGCTGTGTGAGAATGGCTGACCCCTTCGATGGCCGGGGCAGAAGGGGCAGCCTCTGCAAGGGTGAGTGGTTGGGAATGGTTGGATTGGGTGGGGGATTGCAGATCGCTCTGAGTGGGGAATGTGGTGATCGAAGGGCGCGCCATTCCCCACCTTTCCCGCCTCCACCATTTTTCCGCCTCCCCCTTTCCCCACTCCCCTCCGTCCCTTCCACCCGATCCCGCCCCTCATCCAGGCTACTGAAGCGCTCCCTCCCAGGCATTGACTTTTGAGTCGACTCAAAGTCATCCCTTCCACCCAATCCCGCCCCTCATCCAGGCTACTGACGCGCTCCCTCCAAGGCATTGTGGGCAAGGGGGAAGGAGAAGGGGGAGAGGCAGGTGGAGGGGAAGCGGAAAGAAACGGGGGAGAGATGGGGACAAGTGGGGAAGAGAAGGCAAGGGGAGTGGAATGGAAGGAGAGAAGGGGAGTGGAGAAGGAGAGAGGAGGGAGGGAGGGCGAGGTAGCAGAGGAGAAGCAGAAAAGGGGCGGCGAGGGAGAGGGTGTTTTTCGATTCTTTCTGAGCAGAGCCACTGCAGGTGAGGGGCAGTGAGCACTTGAAATCGTCTTACAATCGAAGCTCACTCATTTTTCTAGAACAAGTACCTTTGGCCCAATTCTGGCCCCTCTCACCTTTTCCCCCAACCCTCCCACCCACTAGCCCGGTAAACCCGTGGCACCTGCAGGCAATCCCCGTTGGCCCTGAGTGTATGGAATGGAGTGAAAGAGCAGCAAAGCTGGCTCGTGCGCTCTTGATAATAAAGGTGTTTTGAGACGTCTCAAAAAGCTGGCTCGTGCGCTCTTGATATTCACGTCATTCACTCTAGAGGTTCAGGGGAACTCTTCATCTAGGGTCCCTGGACCCAACCTGCCTCTTCTTCCCCAGCCCGCTACCTGCGACTGTACCCATTTGCACTGAGTGAATGGAGTGAAGAGCGGCAAAGCCGTCCCATCCCCTCTTGATCTTCACGTCACTCACTCAGTGCAAACGGGGGACCCCTGACCTCTTCGTCTAGGGTCCCTGGACTCAACCCGCGTCTTCCCCCGAGCGCGACACCTGCATTGCCTGCTGCAACTGTACCCATTTGCCTCGAACAAGTTGAAAGCACTCCTCGTGGTCCCTGCACTATAAACACTCCTTTTATCACAGGGCAGAGCCCTCGTGCTCCAGGTTGCTTAAAATGCCCCATCTCGTCCCCTCCTCTCCCCTCTCCTCTCTTCTCCTCCCTCCCTCCCTCAACGCGTTACCTGCGTCGCTTGCAGCTGTACCTGTTTGCCTCGAATGAGGTGAAATCCAGCTCTGCTGGGATGTGCCCTCGAACGGGGGCAGAGCCCTCGTGCTCCAGGATGAATGAAATGCGCCTTCTCGTCCCCCTTACTCTTAACCCCCCCACAACCCCACCCCATCTTTCCCAGCGCGCTATCTGCGTCGCTTGCAGCTTTACCCGTTTACTCCGGACGAGGTGAAGGCCAGCACTGCTGGGCTGTGCCGTCGTGCTCCAGGTTGCCTGAAATGCCACATCTCGTCCCGTCCTCTCCCCCCTCCTCTCCCTCCTCGTACCTCCCCCCCACAGCGCGCTACCTGCGTCGCCTGCAGCTGTACCCGTTTGCTCCGGACGAGGTGAAAGCCAGCATGATTGGGTTATATCTCTCTTTCTGTAGTGTGCTGAGAACACCTGATATCATCCCCCTCCTTCTCCTCCTTCCTCCCCTCCCCCCTACACCCTCCCCGCAGCACGCTACCTGCGACGCCTGCAGCTGTACCCGTTCGCTCCAGACGAGGTGAAAGCCAGCACGATCGGATTCTGCCCTCTAGAAGTCGCCTATCGGTTCTTCAAGGTTGGTGTGAGGGAGGCTTTATCTGAATCCAGTGCTTAAGGTCTCAACTGATAGCCCTGAATTCTGGGAAGGTTTCAACTCATGTCAGAGCGGAATGGGCTCATTTGGCACCAGCAATGTTGGTGTGCGGTGGCGATTCAATGTCCTTGGCCTGGATAACACTCCAGGAAACTCTCCCAGGTCCTGATTTGCATCCCACCTGTCACTTCTTCTTCAACAGCTTATGCCCTTCATTCGCCCTCTGTCCTTTGCTGCCCGTCCCCCTTTGCTGCTCGTCCCCGTTTGACACTCCTTCCCCTTCTCCCCCCACCCCACCCTTCGCCAAGTAGTATTGCCACCCACTTTTTGTCTTCAACAGCTTATGCCAATCCCTTGACGCCCACCCCCCTTCGCCGCCCCTTCCCCTTCTCCCCCCACCCCACCCTTTGCCGCCCAGTTCCGCCACCCGCTTTTTTCCTTCGTGCCGGACGAGAGTCAGGTGCGGGCGGCACGGCAGTTACTGCGCCAGCTGGAGGGGCGGCAAGCGGCGGAGCGATTCCATGGAGTGCCGGTGTTCAGTGCAGCGAATCTGACCATTGCTGTGCCGTCCAAGGGCGGCCAGCTGAGGTGGTGAGTGAGGTGCCATCGCCCCTATCTCCTCCGCAAAAAGGAGTGACGGATCAGTTCCAAGGAGTGCCGGTGTGTTCAGTGTGGCGAACCTGACCATTGCTGTGCCGTCCAAAGGGGGCCAGCTGAGATGGTGAGTGGTGGTGGGGGCGTGCTGAGATGGTGAGTGGTGGTGGGGGCGTGCTGAGATGGTGAGTGGTGGTGGGGGCGTGCTGAGATGGTGAGTGGTGGTGGGGGCCAGCTGAGATGGTGAGTGGTGGTGGGGGCGTGCTGAGATGGTGAGTGGTGGTGGGGGCGTGCTGAGATGGTGAGTGGTGGTGGGGGCGTGCTGAGATGGTGAGTGGTGGTGGGGGCCAGCTGAGATGGTGAGTGGTGGTGGGGGCGTGCTGAGATGGTGGGTATGGGCCATCCGTTTACGGAGTGCCGGTGTGTTCAGTGCAGCGAATCTGACCATCGCTGTGCCGTCCAAGGGCGGGCAGCTGAGATGGTGGGTGGTGGCGGTGTGCTGAGGTGGTGAGTTAGGTGCAAAAGAGGCACTTCCCCTTCCAGGGAGTGCCGGTGTTCAGTGCGGCGAATCTGACCATTGCTGTGCCGTCCAAGGGCGGCCAACTGAGGTGGTGAGTGTTGGCGACCATCGCTGTACTCGGGCTTTAAGGGAGTGCTGGTGTTCAGGCAAAGAATCCAACGATTGCTGTTCCGTCTAAGGGCGGCCAGCTACGATCGTGAGTGGTGGTGGGGGCGTGGTGCGCTCGCTAAGGTGGTAGTTAAGCCAGGTGCTATCGCCCTCCACTGCCGGTTTCCCGTGTAGCGAATGATTGAAGAAGTGTTTTGAGACGTCTTAAAACACTACTTCGATCGTGAGTGGTGGTGGGGGCAGGGTGGTGCGCTCGCTAAGGTGGTAGTTAAGCCAGGTGCTATCGCCCTCCACTGCCGGTTTCCCATGTAGCTAATCTAAGCATTGCTGTGACATCCAAGGATGCCCAGCTGAGATTTGAGTGAGGCAGGCGTGTTGGAGGGTTTTTTTTAGAATTCTCAAAAAAACCCTATGGTCGTGTGTTGAGGTGGTGAGTGTGGTGTGGTGCCATCACGCCCTCACCCTTGTTGGCTGGTTTCCCCTTTTGAGGCGCTTCAAAGGATGCCCAGCTGAGATTTGAGTGAGGCAGGCGTGTCGGAAATGGTAGTGTGTTGAGGTGGTGAGTGTGGTGTGGTGCCATCACGCCCTCACCCTTGTTGGCTGGCTGGTTTCCCCTTCTTCTCCTACCCTCCTTCCTTCCTCCTTACTATTCATTTCTTCAACAAGAAGCAGCTGGACCGACCGCTGGCATCCAGTGTGGACCAGCATTGACCACCATTGACCCCCTGTTGACTCTTAGGCTGCCCCCTATCACCCCCCTATCTGTCCACTTGTTCCCCCCACAGGTACCGCCCTTACTTCTTCAACAAGAAGCAGCTGGATAAACTGCTGGCCTCCATCGTTGACCAATGTTGACCCTTGTGCATTCATATCTTCCCCTCCTCCCCCCACAGGTACCGCCCTTACTTTTTCAACAAGAAGCAGCTGGATAAACTGCTGGCGTCGAGTGTGGAGCAATACTTCATGGGACTCATGCGCGCGAGGAGGGCAGCGAGACAAGCACAGGTGGGTGGTGTGGTGTGGTGAGCACGCTTGTTCTATATGCAGGTAGTTCTTGAGCTGCTTCAAACCTCGAAGGGGTGCACTGTTCTTCTGGCGCCCAGTGTGGATCAATGCTTCATGGAATTGATGCGAGCGAGGAGAGCCGCCAGGCAAGCACAGGTAGTGCGGTGCGGGTGGAATAGCAGTTCAAGAGGTTCAAGGGGGTGCTGTGCTGTGCTGGCATCTGGTATGGATAATTTTTTTTCGTGGGATTGATGCAAGCAAGAACAGCCGCCAGACAAGTGTAGGTAGGCTGGCATGATGATGGGCGTTGGGCAGGTGAGGGGACAGTAAGGAGGGGTTATGAGCTGTTGCATCAGCTGCTAGTGGGGTTGTGTGATGCTTGAAATCTCTCAAGGACTCACTACCATTAAAGTCGCGTGTCTTTTCAAGCTCTGTTTTTCTCAAGAATTGAAATGTCTTGGTTGACTGCAGCTGGAATGGAAACAGCCACATGCTCCTCGCTTTGCCCCCTCCTCTTCCCCCTTATTGTTGCAATGGATGGTGCTGCGGTCACTGCAGCGATAAGCTGGTGGATGTGCTGCAGAAGGGGGGTGGGAGAAGCATGTTAGTTCATTCTGGAGCACATCCACCATTCATTGACATGGTTGGTTCTTGTGCTCTTTTTTCTTTCCCCGCATTCTTTCCACTCTCTTTCCCCCAATCCCCAACCACCCTGAATTCAATGCACCCAGATTGCGGCAGTGGATGGCGCAGGGGCAGGAGGAGGGGGGGGAGGAGCAGAGGAGGAGGATCCGTTTGACTCCTTCCCAGACCCGCACGAGGTGAGGGGGATGGAGGGGCAGGGTGTCAGGGGAAAGGGAAATGGAAATGGAAATGGGCATGTTTTGAGTCGACTCAAAACACAGGTGGAGGGGGGGGAGCAGAGGAGGAGGATCCGTTTGACTCTTTCCCAGACCCGCACGAGGTGAGGAGGGGAAGGTGGGAAGGGAGAGCGGAGAGAGGGAAGCGTGGAAAGTTTTCAAGGGTGTACATTGAGTCAACTCAATCTAAGCACAGGTGAAGGGGGAGGAGCAGCAGAGGAGCAGGGTCCGTTTGACTCCCTGCCAGACCCACACGAGGTGAGGAGGGGATTGGAGGGGTAAGGGAGAGCGGACATGGTGGATGGTTAAAAGACTAGCTGTGGGATCGGATCAAAACACAGGTGGAGGGGGAGGAGGAGCAAGAGAGAGAAGGATGTGTTTGACTCCCTGCCAGAGGTGAGGGGGGAAAAGGTGGAGGCAAGGGGAAAGTGGATGGTGGATGGAGCTCGAATGAGGGGCGGATGAGAAGGGGGATGCGTTTCTTTCTTACGTCCTTTTCACCTTTTGTGATGTCAAACACAGTTATAATCACTACTTAATGTTTGCACATTTTCTTGTTGCTCAACCATGCCTTGTCCATTGGACTACTACTATTGCAACCCTTCTCCTTAACCCTTCCTCCCCCCCTTTTTCCCCCTTCGCCTTCCCCCATTCCCCCTCCCCCCACCCATGCCCTTGTCAGTTTGCGGACGATGGCATGTTCCCAGACCCGCCAGAGGTATGAATAGAGGTGTTGGTGTGAGGGGGTGAAAGTAAGGCGTCCTCCCTTCCCCTCCTTCCCCCCATCGCCTATCTCCGCCCCCCACCCGTGCCCTTATCTTTGCAATTTCCAGACCCTCCCGAGGTATGAATAGAGGTGTTGGTGTGAGGGGAATAGGCTTGAAATATATGTCTGGGAGGCTTGGGAGGCATGAGGGTTGGGATGGAAGTTGAAGGATGGCAATATGTTCCCCGCCCAGACCCTCCCGAGGTATGAATAGAAGGTGTTAGTTCTCTCTCCCCCTCGCAGATGCACGAGTTCGCTCAGGACTTGGGCGCCATACAGATTTTCTTCCCCAGAACCTGGTTTACCCATCCCCACCTCCCCCCTGCTCTCTCCCTTTCCCTGCCCATATCCCTTTTCCACTCAGATGCAAGAGTTCGCTCAAGAGTTGGGCCCCATGCTCGTCGCCTTCCCCTCCGCCTCCCTCGGTTCTTCCTCCCCCGGGTCAACCCTGCCGCTGCTGCAGCAAACACACATGCCCCCCTCTCTTTCCCTTTCCATCTCCTCTCTTTCCCCCTCTCTCAGATGCAGGAGTTCGCCCAGGAGTTGGGTCCCATGCTCGGCTCCTTCCCCTCCGCCTCCCTCGGTTCTTCCTCCCCCGGGTCAACCCTGCCGCTGCTGCGAGACGCTGAGATGGTGGTGCAGGAGTGCATGGATCGGGTGCTGCTGAGCAGTCAATGGGGGAGGAAATTAGCTGGTTTGGAGCCTTCTTTTACCGTCATTGTGGATTCGTTTGAACGAAGGTGAGCAGATGAGTTGAGCAGATGAGATGAGATCAGCAGCAGAGCTGGTGGTGCAGGAGTGCATGGATCGGGTGCTGCTGGGGAGCCAGTGGGGGAGGAAACTAGCTGGCTTGGAACCGTCCTTTACTGTCATCGTGGACTCGTTTGAACGGAGATGGGTCTTGGCTTGTCTGAGGAGAGGTGGGAGGAATGTGAGTGAGATGCACAGCAGGAGTGCGTGCATCGGGTGCTGCTGGGAAGTGAATGGGGGAGGAAACTGGCCGGGCTGGAGCCTTCCTTCTGTCATCGTGGACTCGTTTGAACGGAGGTGAGCAGTCAAGATTCGGGGTGTTCAATGGGTGGGTTTAGTTGAAGCCTCGAAGAAGCAGAGTTAGCGGTGCAGGAGGGCATGGATCGCGTGCTGCTGGTGAGTCAGTGGGGGAGAAAACTTGCTGGTTTGGAGCCGTTTGAACGGAGGTGGGTTTAGGCCTTGTCTCTGCTGCGAGATGCAGAGGTGGTGGTGCAGGAGGGCATGGATCGTGTGCTGCTCGGGAGTCAGTGGGGCAGGAAGATTGCAGGGCTGGAACCCTCTTTCACTGTTGTCGTGAACTCGTTTGAAAGGAGGTGAGTATGCAGGCTTGTTGTTGAGGGAAGATAGAATGTGAACCGCAGAGATGGTGGTGGAGGAGCGCATGGATAGGGTGCTGCTGGGGAGTCAGTGGGGGAGAAAGACTGCTGGTTTGGAGTCTTCCTTCACTGTCATTGTTGACTCGTTTACACGGAGGCGAGTAGTTGCTGCTTCACCTCCGCCTCCCACAGTGCACCCTCCCCCAGGTCAACCCTGCCGCTGCTGCGAGATGCAGAGCTGGTGGTGCAGGAGTGCATGGATCGGGTGCTGCTGGGGAGCCAGCGAGGCAGAGGCGGTGGTGGGTGCAAAGATCAAGACGTTTGTCATCTGCGGTTGATAGCTATATCCTCTACATTGATGCCTATAACCCATAAGCACACTCCCTCTCACTTCCTGCAGGGTGGAGGAGGCAGAGGCGGTAGCGGATGCGGAGATCAAGGCGTTTGTCAGCTGGGGTTGATGCCTGGAGATTTGCCGCTTATAACCCATGAACCCACTCCCTCTCTTCTTCGCTTTCTGCATACAACAGGGTGGCGGAGGCAGAGGCGGCGGTGGATGCGGATATAAGGTGTTTGTCAGCTCAGCCATTTGCACACCCGCTTTTCCATTCTCTCTCCTCCTTACACAACAGGGTGGAGGAGGCAGAGGCGGTGGTGGATGCGGAGATCAAGGCTTTCGTTAGCTCTGCCATCACCAGCCTCCTGAAGAAATGCGATCTGCTGCCGCAACAGCTCTCCACCGCACCTCACAAGGGGAAAGCAGAGGACAAAGCGAAGGAAAGGGGAATGGCAAAGGACAGCTTTTTAAAAAGCGAGAGGAAGGGGGATTCAGAGCAGGCGCTGTCAGTGCAGCAGCAGCAACAGGAGCAGGTGCAGCAGAACCGGCAGCAGCAGCAGGTGAAGGAGGAAAGGGGTTTGTCAGAAGCTGGTTCTTCCCTCTCCACTCGTCCCGCTGCCAGCACTGCCAGCACCACACTCCCTGGTGATACTGTCACGCCCACAGTCCCTGATACGATCACATCCCAAACCACTGATACTGTCACATCCGCTCCTCCTGATACTGTCACGTCTGCTCACAGCAGCACGGCCATCGATAACAGCACACCCTCTACTACCACTGTCATTGCTGCTACAGCAGCACCACCCACAGCCTCTCCTGCTTCTGAAACACCGCTTACAGGCACACGCAGCACAGTCACAGCTGCTGGGGGAAAGGGGGGAAAGGTGAAGGGGAGGGGGAGTGGGAGCAAGGAGGGCAGCAAGGAGGGGCATGCCCTGGAAGGGGCTTTACTGGCTGGCCTGCTGCGATTGATGGGGGAGGATGGTGCGGCTGACCTGCTGTACAAGGCAATGGGAATTGGTCGCACGAGCGGGGGTGGTGTTGGGGGAAAGGAAGGGGGTGGGTATGGAAAGCGAAGGATGGGAGAGGACGAGGCTTCTGAGCTGTTGGGTAAGGCTATGGCCTTTTTAAACAGGGATGGGGATGATGCTGGGAGGAAGAGTGGGGGTGATGTTGGTGGAAAGTCTGGGAGTGATGCTGGTGGGGAGAGTGGGAGTGTCACAGCGAAGAATGGGAATGATAAAAGCACTGACAGTGTGGATGAGGGAAATGGGAAGAGTAAGGATGATAAGGCGCAGTCATTTGGGAGCCATGACGGGTGCGATACTGGGTTGAGTGGTATAGTTGGGAAGGATGAGGCATTGATAGGAAGTGGTACGGGAGCGAATAGCAGTGGAGGAATGAGCCCTGTTGACAGCAGCATCGATAAAACCGCAGCCAGCAGTCTTGGTACGGGAGCGCAACCAGCAGCCAGCAGTCTTGGTACGGGAGCGCAACCAGCAGCCAGCAGTCTTGGTACGGGAGCGCAACCAGCAGCCAGCAGTCTTGGTACGGGAGCGCAACCAGCAGCCAGCAGTCTTGGTACGGGAGCGCAACCAGCAGCCAGCAGTCTTGGTACGGGAGCGCAACCAGCAGCCAGCAGTCTTGGTACGGGAGCGCAACCAGCAGCCAGCAGTCTTGGTACGGTAGCAGCAGTAGTTGAAACCGCAGCCAGCAGTCTTGGTTCCAATGTCAGCAGTAGCAGCAGCATTATCAGCAGCAGCAGTGCCAGCAGCAGCAGCAGCAGCAGCACCGTCACAGCTAATGTCTCGGATAATGCAGATCTGAGTATGAGAGAGGGGATCAAAGGAGCGGTCGAGAAAAAGCAAGAGGACGTGAAGGAGATAGCAGCTGAGGAGAAGCATCTTGTGCAGAGAGGTTTAGGTTCGATTCCCAAGACTGCTGATGAGGATCCGGCACAGGAGAGCATAAGGCAGGTGGTGAGTGCGATACGGGGGAAGTTGGCTGCTGCTGTGGCTGAAGGGACACGTGGCATGGCTGGATTGGTGGATTCTGCTAAGGAAGCGGTGGCAAGACTGGCCTGTCAAGAGGGTACGTCTTCAAACGAAGCTGCTTCAAACGAATCTGCTTCAAATGAATCTGCAGAGGCTGTTGCAGGAAAAGCTTCTGTAGGGACAGGAGCTCGTGTTACAGGTGGGGTTGCTTCGGCAACAGAGCATGGTCTTGCAGCTGGTGCAACAGAGCCTGTCAAGTCACAAGCGCAATCGAGTGAAGCACAACTAGGGGCTGCATCATTGGCGGCTAATCAGAGTGATTCTCCTGCAGGAGTTGTGGTGCCAAAATTTCCTGCAGCAACAGAAGGTGGAACGGCAGAACCTTCTGAAGTGGTTGCGTCTGAGGCAGATGTCACAGCGATGTCTGAATCAGAGATGAGAGATGCTGAAGAGAGAGCTGCTGCTGCTGTCGCTGCTGCTTCTGCAGTTGCAGCTATTGCTGCTGCAGCTGCTGCCAATGCTGCTGCTTTGGCTCGGCCTGAACGTCTGCCTATGTCCCAGCCGAAGCTAGCAATCTTAGGGGTGACAGTACCGAAGCTGCAAGTCCGTTCCGAGGCTAAAGATGGCGACAAGAAGGCCGAGAGTGAGGGTGGGAGTGATGAAGGGAGTGAGAATAGGAAAGGTGGAGGGAGTGAAAGTAAGAGTGAGGGAGGGAGTGAGAAAACAGGTTCTGATGCTCTGGAGAATGGTTCCACAACTGAGGGAAAGGTGGAGACAATAATTCCGCCAGCAAGTGGAGGGCCTAATGGGAAAGCCTCAGTTGAGAACATCATTGCCACTGCTAAAGGACCTGTTGTGTCACCTGATGTTGAGGTGGCAGCAGCAGCAGCAGCAGCAGAGGCAGCCGCACAAGCAGCAGCAGAGGCAGCATTAGCAGGAGTGAAAGAAGCCATTGCAATTGCATCAAGGGACTTTGAGGAGACTGTTCGCAGGGGTGGTGTTCCGGACGCGAGTCGGGACCCACTGTTCATTGCAGATATAGGGGAGGACAGGGAGGAAGCTGGGTGGGGAGATAGATCAGAATTTGGCCTCAAGCGTGCTGGATAATCTGCTACCGTAATACCCCGGATTTAAGACCCGGGGGTATTATAAGAATCCCACCCCAAAAATGAGGGGGGGTCTTAACAGTTGGCTACATTTTATAAGACCGGGGTCTTATCATAAGGTCATTTATACTAGTATTTTGGAAGTTATACATGTCAACACTAAGTGCTTAGTTTTTAGCATAAGAAGGGAATACGCGCAATGAAATTTGTGTTTAGCATCCAAATTATTACACGAAATTGACATGATGATGAGTATATGTGCTTTTGTGACTGGTTTTACCCCTCGTTAATGAAAATCTTATAAAATGGTGTGTAAAGGGGCAGAAAAGCTATCAGAATTGCAGTCATTGCCAATAAAACGACCGATTCTCTAGGGGGAGGGGGGTCTTATAATGTTAGCCCCCATTTAGGGGGGTATAACAAAAACGACCTATTTAGCGTACCCCCCTCCGTATTATAGACCCAGGGGTCTACAACTGGAGGGGGTCTTATATCCGGGGTATTACGGTAGGTGGATTAGGAGGCCTTTCTGGCAGGGCAGGACTCAGTCCTGTTGACCAGACAACTTTGTGACAGGCAGGTCAAATGCCGTCCAGGCATGTCACAGCTACAAGAGCACTCCTTCTGGATGTTTCAGGAGTTCCTTACAACCATACGTGGTATGATTTCCAATCAAGACGTTGATAAAAAGTGACAACTCGCATGCATGAAGTCACATAACAGAATAATATCACAAAAGATCAGCTAAGGATCCGTCCAACCTCACGTCTTTGAACATGGAGACTTCTCTTTCATAGTCTTCAATGCAGAAGACCTCCTTGGCTTGGTATGAAAGCTGCGCACGTGACTCGTGACTTCCACAAATCTTCTCAAGCTGGGAAATAACCCTTGCCTGGGTATCCTTTTCTACGGCTGAAGCTGGTCGGTATCGGTTCACGAATTCCAACAGGCTTTGTAATGTCTTCTTGCTTTTCAGAGCACCAACCTTGGCTGAGTCAAGCTGAGTCCAGGAATCAATCTTAGAGACCAAATTTTTGGAGGGATGCAGCTTTGGGAGAAACTGTGCTGCTTCACTTTGTCCCAGCCTCAGGAGCTGCAGCACAGAGCTTCCAAGCTCTTCAGTTTCAAGGTCGCAAGGAGCTAGCACCTCGTTAACAAGAGTCCTTGCAAGGCTGTCCTTTCGGTCCCTTGGGCACTGCTTGAACATACTCAATACCAAAACACAGCGGCTCTTTGCGTTTCCGTCCATCAACTGTGTAACCAGCTCCTTCATCAAGCCCTTGATCCGAGTATCCTTGTGCAGCAGCCCCACAGCCAGCCGCTTCATGAATCCTTGTGCCTTCATTTTCTTAGAAAGAAGCAGATGCGCATAGACAGCATACGCCTCCAGTTGCGCATCACTGGTGTCAGAATCCATCAGGCTATTCACTCCATCCAATAAGTCTGGGAACTCATTCGGAGAAGTGAGGATTAGTTTGGCCACAGTGGCAAGTGCAGCGACCTTCACCGGTTTCTCCTCATCCTCTAAGAGTCGTGTGATTAGAGTGCAATGCCGCTTTGCAAGGTCAATAGACAGCAAGAGAAAGCTACTCAAGCTTCTCAATGCTGCCAGTCGCACAGCAAGTGGAACATCACTTTCAGAGGCAAGCGAGACGAGCATGGGGATATAGCATCCCGGCATGAAATTCCCATCCAGAAGCAGTTGCGAAAAATGCTGAGCCGCATCTGCACAGATTGTTGAAATTCATTCATAGATGTGCCAAAGCCAGAAACGCAGGCAAATGGTATTACACGTACCTTCTTCTTGCGCCTTCAGATCTTCATGTTGCAGATAATCGAGTTCTGCATTCTTGGATTCACCTCTGCTTGTACGCAGGCGCTTCATGAAGATATCAGAAGCCACCTTGTACCGTTGAGAGAGGTGGCCAATAAGTTCGAGGAATGTAACTGTAACTTTTACATTCTGCTCTTCTTTCCACAGACCATTATGCTCCATAAAGGTTTGAAGAACCCTTTGGGATATTTGAACTGAGGTTTCCAATGAAAAAACACAGTTCATGGTCTCCTCAAGAAAACTTTCCGACAGTTGGTTGAAATCTTTCACAAAAATCTGTTGAAGCTCAACTCCAGTGCACTGTCCAGACTGCAGGGCGGCTGCAAAAGCCTGCAATGGGAACAAAGTAAGTGGGATGAACGCACACCTTCAAGTGAGCTGAAAGAACCCCGCCATACCTTCAAGCACCAAGACACCATATGTCTGGAAGTTTGTTGTTTATCCTGGCTGGTCTTGAGGAAAGTTTGAACAGCTCGCTGAAGATGCTTGACCATGGATGAATCATATGTACTGGGTCCTTTTTGTTCAGTGCAGGTTGGGGCGAAAAGCCAAATGATCCTGAAAGGTGATGCACACCCGTTCGAGAGACTTTCCGCTTGCGAAATGCGAGAAAAGGCTTGGTCCACAATCTTCCTGTAGGTTTTGATGATGGCGTGATTGCGGGAAGCCTCATCCCTCAGAAAATCCTTCACTGTTGCCAAGGATGTCTCCGAACATTTCACAGAAAACTCCGCCCAGCGTTCATAATCATTGAGATAGCAATGAATGACTCTGCTTGCCACAGGCCGCGATGGTCGGCTAAGGCCAACGTTAAAGAGATTTGCCAGCTCCTCATACACCATTTGATGCGGAAAAGTTAACAGACAGAGCACTTCACCAACACCTTCCCAGGTCTCCACACACATAAGACCTGATTCTGGCGGAACTGATATCAGCCTGAACAGAGCGTCCATAAGTGGCTTTAACTTTCCGACATGATCCCCCCGGGTATGAAAAGACAAGAACGGCTTTGAGAGGCTAACAGCTTTCAGCCTGACAAGCTTGCTTTTGTCGCACAGCGCTGATGCTAATGCTTCTGAAATAACCTCTGTCAATTCCGTGCCGTGATGATTTTCCGGTTTCGCAGCGGCGACGAGAGAGGTTATAGCCTGTAGTCGACATATCGCAGAGCGGTTGTTGAGCAGAGCTTGCAAAAGCTTTACTAGTGCGAGCGAGTCGCTTTTGCTGATCCGATGGCTTTGCTCTAGGCAGCTTCCGACGATGCTGATGTAGTGCTTACGAACAGAGGCTCTTTCGCAAGTCAACATCAGCGATAAACGATCTGGAGTAGGAAAACGTCACATTTGAACGAACATAGAAGATCACGAATAAAAGTAGACATTACATACGTATTCAAACGGACTTACCCAAATAAAGGCCTGTTATGATCAACGCGTCTTTTCCGCAAGATGCTCGCTTCGCCAGCTTGGATGCGAGCGACTCTGTACGACAAAATCAGTTTCCTTCAACCATTGTTTCAAGCACTAACTTCGCATTGGCTTACCAAGTTTGTTCCACGAGTCAACGTCCAGAGTACCTCGTGACGCCAGTGACTCTATCGCAGCAACATCCAATGACTGCGAACACAATCGGCATTGTCATTGGCTGCTCGGAATCTATGAAAGCAACAGGAATAACTGACCAGCTGTTGCAAGGAATCCATTTCAGTGCGTTTGACTGCCTGGGTCAGACAGTTGATGGATCGATAGGGCGAGTGTGGTGATTTGCTGCTGAATCCTGATGGAAGTTGCTCTACCCAGATTGGAAAGGTGTTGTGACAGGAAGCTCGTTGAACAGATACATATGTGTGGGTCCACAATTTCTAGGAGACCCCGAGCGCGTACATGAAAAGGTTCAAGATGCCGTTACAGTATTCTCGTCATGCAGCGAATTGTCATTGTGTCGCTAATCCTCGTTGTGGCTTGAAAATAACTGGTAACTGACGACCAGATATCAATTTGCGTTCTATTTCCCAGACAGTGTTCGAGCCCTGGGTATGAGCTATGGCATAGCCATGACGTACCGTACACCGGGTGTCATGGAGCAGACGAACCACAAGTTTCAGAGTCAAGCCATTATAAACAACATCCTTCGATGTCAAAGCGAACTGGATTTGATGCGAATGGACTCAAAAGCCGCCAGTTGAAGCGATGATTATCCTGTCACCATTTCTAGCGTAAGGAAGGAGCTAGCAGAAGGAAGGCTCATGATGGCAGAAATGGCTGCACGCGGTCGAAGAAGAAGAAATCCTTCATGGCGGTCCGAATGCGTACTGTTCCTTCTATTCTTCCTAGTCCTCGCCGCGAGCCGGGACATCGCCGTTGGAGTCCGCGCAAACGCCGCGGCAGAGCGACGAAAGGAGATGGATCAGATGCTGCAAGCTCAAGTGAGAGGAAGTAGACGATTTTTCTGTGCCTGAGTCTATTCCAGATCTTATGCTGACCTAAAGTGTAGGCCGACGCTGGTGATGCTGCCTCGTGGAGTAAGTTCCGGCGAGGACGAGGTGCAATGCAAGCATCCGCCTGAGAGCTGTTTTCCCTGCCCGCGGAGAATTCTGAGACGTTTCAAACTCTGAGACGTCTCAAAATTGATGATGCGTCATCATACTGTCACCAATCTGAGAGTTGTTTCCCCTGCCAGTGGCGAATGTGTCAATTATATTTCTCTAAGCTGTCTTGTCATCATGGATTAACTGTAAATGTAAGGATGAGACCACCTGGCATTCTCAATTTGCCGCCTCCTTTGATTTTGCTCTCTGAGCTTGCATATATCCCCACCTGTCCCCTATTTGTCGCTCTGTTTGATTCCTTGCCCTGCATCATCTCCACCAGGTGGATAAGATGCTGGCGACATTTGAAAAGGATGCTGATGTGGCATCGCTGACTCAGCAGCAGACGTCATGCTCTTGCTATCACATTCGCAATGATTACTGCTGTCACCAGTACATGTGCATCTGCTCGCCCATGTGCTGGAACGGCTATGAGGTGAATGAGGGTCTGGGGGGAATGAAGCTTTGAGGGGATGAGGCTGTGAGATGAATGAGGCTATGTGGTGAATGTGAATAATGCAACGTCTCACCAGCATAGGCCTCTACTGCTGCCACCAGTACATGTGCATCTGCTCGCCTATGTGCTGGAACGGCTATGAGGTGAATGGGGGTATGAGAGGGATGAGGCTATGAGGGGAATGAGGCTACGAGGGAATGAGCCTATGAGGGGAATGAGGCTACGAGGGACTGAGGCTATGAGCTGAATGCGAATAATGCTACTGCTCACCAGCATGTGTCACTGCTGCCACCAGTACTTTCGCATGTGCGTGCTCATTTGTTGGAAACTGCTATGAGGTGAATGCAGTGGCGCACATGGGTATCAGGTGAATGCACCCACGCCATCCCCCAACACCAACCCTAACACAGCACCCCAATTCCCCGTGGACCACACACACCACCAGGAAAGATTCGCATCACCACACTTGTCGTGATTCATATCAGTCGACTCAAAAGTCAGCAGCAGATCACGCAGCATCCTAACCCCCCTTGGAGGACCACACATGCACTCAGGTAACGTTTTACATCACCACCCTCGTCATGATTGTTTCCGTTCCCATTCCTCCTTCCAGCTTATTTCTCTCGGTCAACCCAAGTGCGCGCCAGCAGCAGAGCACACCGCACCTCCACCCGGCCAGGACCCCATTCTCTCCCCCGTAGACTGCACGCACCAGCACGAATTCACCTCTGCACTCTCGGATATCGTCTCCATAACTGCAGAAGCTCGCTTGGCTGAGCGAAGCGCAGGCGGGAGGGGGGGCGGAAGGGGGGATGGTGGGGAAGGGTGGTTGGGGAGCCGGAGGGAGGTGGACTGGCAGTTTGGGCTGACCATGCTTCAGCGGTTCAATGACAGCTCCGTCAACCTCTCCCACTTTGCAGGTAGGTTTTTCAGTTAGCAGGTAAGTAAATCTGGTAGGAGGTGTCTCAGAACTTGTTCGGAGTCTTTATCTCCACTTTGCAGGTAGGTATCCAGTTCTAAGGCATGTCAGATGATCCCGATGCCTTTCACTTGAACTTGAGCCCTTTCAGGTGATTTTGTTACATTATAGAGTGGTTTGGGCCAAGTCAAAACTTCCTTGTCTATCTACCTCTCCCCCTCCCCCCATCTCTGCTCTTTCATCAAGTACCTTTTTTGTCCTGTTGGGTTGTCCTCCTTGGTAGGCTGAAACATCGTTCTCTCACCTCCTGTTTCTTGTGTACTTTGTTGGTCGACTCAAGCTCCCCTGTCCATCCATAATCACCCTCTCTCGTTGCTTCTATCAATCCCCTCTCTGTCTCGTTAGTTTTTTTTTTTTTTTTTTGTGTGTGTGTGTGTGTGTGTGTGTGTGTGTGTGTGTGTGTGGAAGGCTTGAACATGGCTGCACCTCACACTCACACGTCCTTTTGCTCCTCCCCCTCTCCTACCTGCCCCCTCTGCCCATTCTCCCATCAAAACGCAGAGAAGGCTCTCACAGTTCCCCCGCCCAAAAGCTTCTCTGGTTATGATGCCAGGAAGAACGCCAATCCCTCCTGTCAAGTCTCGTCCTCTCTTCCTTGCAGAGAAGGCCCTCACGCTCCTCCTGGCCACCAACTTCACAGCGTGCCAGCTCTGCTGCGCTGCGTGGTCACTTCCCTTGCAACAGCCTCATGCTGTGAGATATGCTGTATCACCCTGTCTGTCCCTCTCCCCGCCCTCACAGAGAAGGCCCTCACACTCCTTCTGGCCAACAACTTCACGGCGCCAGCCCTGCTGCGCCCCATGGTCACTCGCTTCATGCTCCCTCGTGAGGAGCTGGTTCTAGAAAAGTGAGCATTGAGGAGTGAGCAGTGAGCACATGTTAGGTTGGTTGAGCCCTGTAGGACACTGCAACTCGCATAAGGCCCTCAGCGGCTCCTTCATGCCGTGCTACACCCCTTGGTCACTCGCTCCATGCTCCCTCGTGAGGAGCTGGCTCTAGAAAAGTAAGTAACTGCGTGGGTTAGGATGCACCCTACAGTGTGAGCCCTGTAAGATACTGCAACTCGTTTAAGCCCCTGAGCGGGCCCTTCACTCTGGCTCTTCTACACGCCATGGTCACTCGCTTCATGCTCCCTTGTGAGGAGCTGGCTTTAGAGAAGTGAGCATACACTGTGATTCACTTAGGCCTTGAGTGAGTGGGTCATTTATGATGTTTCTGCAACGCCCCATGGTCACTCGCTTCATGCTCCCCCGCTGGGAGCTGGCTCTAGAAAAGTAAGCACACGGTGGGTGAGTCATGTAGGGCACTGCAACTCGCTTAGGGCCCTCAGCGGGCCCTTCATTCCAGCTCTGCTGCGCCCCATGGTTACTTGCTTTATGCTTCCTCACAAAAAGCTGGATCGAGAAAAGTGAGTGGGCGCTTCAGTTAGGGTGAGCCCTGTGGAGCACAAACCCTAAACCCTAAGCAGGAGCTTTTTGGCCGCTGCGACTGGCTTAAGCTGCTTTACCACGGCTCTGCTATGCCATGATCACTTTCTTCAATCTCCCTTGGGAGGAGCTGGCCGTTGAACGGCGAGCAGTGAGCAATGAACGCACGTTTGAATCGGCAGGCTTGTCCTTGCCACAAAAGTCACATCCCCTTTGTGTCACATTCGCTTGTTACAAAACCCTTTGACACAACCTCTTGTGTCACGCACCCCCTCTGTGTCACGTATCTAGGATGAGAATGAAGGGAGGCGAAGCGGTGCACGCGCGGTTGCTGCAGGCAATGATAGAGTTCGCCGTCACGCCCGTGCTCTCCCCTCGCATCCACATGTCTCGCCAACTGTACGTTGCCCTCGCATTAATGACTTTTAAGGCGCCTCAAAATCACGCCCGTGCTCTCCCTCGCATCCACATGCCTCGCCAACTGTATGTTGTTCCTCTCACCAATGCTTGCATACTTGCAATCTCTGCGTCCTTGTTCTATCTGCTTCCTTGTTCTATCTGCATCAGTGCTCTTCTGGCGTTTTTACTCACCCATGCTCTCCTTTTAACCTTGCTCTCCCTGCACCCTTGCTCTCCCTGCACCCTTGCTCTCCCTGTACCCTTGCTCTCCCTGCACCCTTGCTCTCCCTGCACCCTTGCTCTCCCTGCACCCTTGCTCTCCCTGCACCCTTGCTCTCCCTGCACCCTTGCTCTCCCTGCACCCTTGCTCTCCATGTACCCTTGCTCTCCCTGTACTCTTGCTCTCCCTGCACCCTTGCTCTCCCTGCACCCTTGCTCTACCTGTACCCTTGCTCTCCCTGTACCCTTGCTCTCCCTGCACCCTTGCTCTCCCTGTACCCTTGCTCTCCCTGCACCCTTGCTCTCCCTGCACCCTTGCTCTCCCTGCACCCTTGTTCTCCCTGTATCCTTGCTCTCTCTGTATCCTTGCTCTCTCTATATCCTTGCTCTTCCGAATTCCCTGCACACTCTCCATCCCTGTATCCCTGCTCCACACCAGCCACGACCACAGAACACTGGGAGATGCCCCCATGGCATTCGGGCTGGTGGAATTCGAATCCGCATGGAACGCCGCCACCGAAGCCCGCCCTCTCTGCTTCGAAAGGCTCCTCCTCCCGGGGGTTCTCAAGGGGCAGGCATTCCCGTCCCACCCCACCCAGGGGACCTTCCTGGACCGGCACCTGCGGGCGAAGCTAGGGTTGGATCCGCCTGGAAAAGTGGAGTGGGGAAGGGATGGGGTGCGGGGGTGGCGGCCTCGAGTGTTGTATATCACACGGCTGGGAGCGGAGTTGAAGCTTCGTCGCACCTTCCTGCCGGAGAGTCATGAGGCGCTGCTGAAGCTGATGGAGGAGCTTGGGTTGCAGGTGAGCTCCTGGTTGGCGTCTTGGTGAGTTGCTGGTTGGTTCCTTGTAGTCTCCTGGTAGGTTCCATGCTGTCAGGCCTCGGAATGTGGTGTGGGGCAGCCCAAACATGTTGTAAGTGAATGCATTTAACGAGTGGAAAGGGCATCTAAGAACGTGGTGTAAATGTCTGTGACTATAGGTGATTGAGCTATATGTGGTTATTGCTATGGATGACACTACAACTCCTTGGTGGTTACACTCTTTGGTGTTCATATAACTCCCTACATGTTCATTCTTCAGGTGACAATGGTAGAGATGGGTCAATTGACATTTCGCCAGCAATTCGAAGCCATTCAATCCGCTGACATTGTGATTTCCCTGCATGGAGCTGCCCTCACCAACGTGGCTCTCTTCGCCCGCCGCACCACCGCATTAATCGAGGTAATGCCGTACGGCGTCGTGCACGAGCTCTACTATTCGCTCTCGCTTAACTCGGGCATTCCGTATTTTCTCAAGATGTGCCGCAAAGGGGAGGCACAGGAAGGAGACTTGGCGGAATTCGAGGGGTTGAGCTACAAGGAATGCATGCACAAAAACCTTGCATGCAAGTGGCACCACATCCACATACGGCGGATCGAACTCACCGACCGGGATTTAATGGACTTGAAGAAGATGCTCCTGGTTGCAAAGGATATTGTTGGAGCAAAATTGGGAGGGTTTGGCAGAGACTTGCAGTCTGGGGAGCTGCCTGGCTGGGCTGTAGAGAGGTTTGGGGGCATGTGTGTTGCTAGGGATGTGGACTTGTATGGTGAAAGGAGTGATTTTCTTAGGGTGCCTAATCCAGGGAAAGCGACTGAAGACTTTATTTGTGTGTTTTCAAGAGGCGATACCTAACATGCATATCAAACCATTTTCTCCTGGATAGTACCGTGGTGGATTTCAGGGATGTGCTCTTTTGCTGGACTCGAAGTATCACATGTGGCGCTTTTACGGTACACAACACATGTGAATTGTAATCTGGGTCCTTGCATTTTTGTTCCCCCGTTCAATTTTCGGATTGCTACGGTAATGGTGAATGCTAATGGCGAAGACGAATAATGGTGCTGCTAATCTCTCATTCAAGTTTTCTCTAGATTCTGCTTCACCTGTTAGCAATTCGCATTTCGTCAAATTCTAGCCGTTCCTCGTCTACTAGATATCTCGTGTCTGCGTCCTTTTCCTTTTCGGCAGCCTTCGCAGCTTCTTCGGCAGGAAAGTAGCGCACTTCTTGAAACAGGGTAACCGAGGCCACACGAAATAGGACTCCTGTAACGAGAGCTCAGGGTTGTTACAACTCTGCGGAACATCTGGCTTGTTCTTGCAGCGAGCGTCAGGCGTCCACGTCGACCATGTCGCAACCCGGCACATGCTCGCATGACCATGACTGTAGCGACCATGACTGTGGGGCTGGCTTCTCCCTTTATAAGAATGTCGACCTCCCTAAGGTGATTATCCTTTCCTGCTTTTTTTCCGGCCTGCTCTCCCCTCCTTTCCGCTAACCCTGCTTTCGTCTCCCGCTCGCTCGCCCTGCTCGTCCTTTGGTCCTGCTCTCACCTACTCTTCTCTTGCCCAGTTCGCCGCCTCTCTCTTTCAAACGAAGGTTTTACTTTCTATTCTCCGTTCCGGCGCACTTTCTCTCCCTCCTTAATCCCTCCCCCGCCCACCACCCCCCCCCTGGCCCCTCCTTTTTCCCTTCCTCCCTCCACCCGCCCCTGCCCTCCCTCCATCCATCCCTCATAAATTTTCTCAAAGGCCAGTTAAAGTAACGGAGGGGAACGCCAAAGCCTTCTACCACACCTGGAAATTTTAACGGCGTTCCCTTCTTGCATCCGTTTTGTCTCTTTATCCCCTTTCTTATTCCTTCCCCCCTCCCCCCCACTCGCTCTTTAGATGCGAGCACCCAACGAGGTAGCAGAGGGGAGCGCCAAGGGCATGTTTCAACATCAGAAGTTTGCGCAATGTGTTTCATCCTCAGTTCTTAACCTCTTCCCTCTCCTCCGTACACTCTCCCAACATAACCTCGCGTCAGGTGCGAGCACTGAATGAGGCAGTGGAGGGGAGCGCAGAGGGCGTGTTCCGCAGCTGGGAAGATCGCATGACCTTTCCAAGTGTAAGCTGCTCTTGTAAGTTTTTGTGACTGTGCTCAAACGTGTGCACATATAAGCTCTTTGCATTCCTAGAACTTTCGGGGCAGCATTTCTTCCTCATGGTGGTTCAAACTTCAGTTACTTCCCCAACAGTTATGGAATCTTTCATGAGCTCTGCTTCCTGCCGATGTATTAAAATATAATATTTTAGTATGCACATTTGACTTTCCATCTTTCCATTATCGTCAGTTTCCCTTTTGTCCGTTTTCTTCCCTTCCCTCCCTTCACACCCACTCACTCCCATCCTCTTCCTTACCACCCTCTTGCATGAACCCAGCAACCAATGGACAGTAACGAGGATGATCCAGAGCTGATACTCTTTATTCCGTGAGTCAGTCTGCCTGTTTCAGTATTTCTCTGTTGTTTGGGATTTTTTAGTTGTGGATTCAACATCAATGATTTGGATGGAGCTCGATTTCTCCACTCTGTGATTGTGTAATTCCTTCGGTTTTGGATAATGCATGATTCAGGTCTTGTCTCTCTTACTGAAGAGGGCTTTCCATTTGGTTGAGAAGATTAAGGGCAGTGCAGTGAAGGGCACTCTTGGTGCCGCTGTATTCATTTGCAACTGCTGTACTGTACTACTGTTCTACTGTACTAATGTGTGCAGATTCACAACCGATGTGAAGATCAAGAGCATCGCCATTATTGGGGGAGCAGATGGGACCAGCCCTGCAAAGATGCGAGCGTAAGTGTATCTTTCTTAGTGCATCTTCCTGTAACAGCATGATTTCAAATATCAATGATAAACTTTAGATCCATTTTCCTCCACTTCTCTCGCTTCACCTCACTCTCCCCTCTCCTTCCATCTCTCTCCAAGCAGCTTCATAAATCGTGAGGACGTTGATTTCTCTGTGGTTAATGATCTGACTGCAGTGCAGGTAACATTTGATAGTCACTAAGGTAACATCTCTCACCCAAGTGTATGGTTTTTGGTGACCACAGATCACTGCACGACTTACAATGTTTTCCACACCTCTTTTTTTTTGTTACGCACACAGATTTTTATCTGTTGATGCATCTGTCACCTATACGTGTGTCTGATTGTTTGTGGCCAGGAATGGGATCTAACTGAGGACCTTCAAGGCGAGCTCGAGTACACCACCAAGTAAGGCCATTCGCCCTTATTGTAGCCATCTCATCGGTATTCTTCTTATGACAGTGAAACTATTTCCCTGAACAAGTTCATAAACATGGCCACTCGTGATGTATCCATTACTATGACGTCTAATCGGTGCGAATATCCGTCACACATTGGTGTGAGCATTGATTGCGTCAAACGAATGTTACCATTTCATGTCAGGGCAAACCGTGTTACATCTCATTGACCCAAATTCTGCGGAAGTCCGCTTTTCCCCCATTTCATTTTCCCAGTGAGTGGTGTGTCCCTTTCTTTACTCCAGTTCTCCGCATCCCATCCCATCTCCCCTTATCCTCCACTCCAGTCACCTCACCCCCATCCATTCCTGTTCGTCCCCCAATTCCGTCCTTCCTCTCCCTCCCTCCCCTCTCACCAGATTCTCCAAGTTCCAGGGCGTGTCCTCTCTCACCCTCCATTTCCCTTCAAATTTTGGGGGTGATTTCTCTCGGATCCACTTCGTGGGACTCAAAGGAGAGGCCACTCAGGTATGGGAGGAGTAGGAGTCGTAAGGAGAAAGTTGAGAGAGGTGTGTAACAAACGAATGCTGAACGGGCCACTCAGGTTTGGGAGGAGGAGGAGTTACAAGGAGAAAGTTGAGCGACGGCCTAAGAGTTACAAATGCTGGATGAACTCCAGGGATCAGCTACTCAGGAAGAGGAGTAGGAGGAGTATGGCTAAAAAGGATTCGTATTTGTGAGAGGAGGACTGGTGGGCTGGCGAGGACAGGATTCATCTTTGTAGCCCTGGAGGCACCTGCCTGTGTTGTCTCATTCGTGCCACCATACACACATGCCCCCCTTCCCTCCCACCTCCTACCCTTTCTCCGCCTGGTGCGTGCTCAGAACAATCGGAGAGCGGTGGCTGCAGTTGTGTACGAAGCACAGGCCAACCCCAGTGACCATGAGTAATCACACATGGCTTCAACCAAACACACCAACCACCCACCATTGTTCACCTCTTCACACCCGCGTCTGTCCCTTGTGTACCATAAAATTTGGAATGGTTTCGGCTGCACCCGTACTGGTTCCAGAATTCACAGCCCACAATGACACCCTGTTTTGTTTCTCGTCTTTTACCTATCTGGGCTGCCCCTTGTGTTTTGTGGAATGATGCTTATGAGCGAAATTGTGCCTGTGTTGGTTCTTATCATTGTGTTTCTCAGGGTTCCGGCTGACATGGGAGTCCCCAAGGTGCTCCATCATTAGGTATAAAGTATACAGGGTCTCCATCTTTTGTGGGTGTGGGTTTTGCTCATATGATATCTCTCTGTTTAGGAATTAGGGTACTCAGATTCTAGCTCATTGCTTACAAGGGGTAATTTGGGGGTATTTTTGCCCCTTTCCTAACAAGGTAAGATATTTTGGCTCGAACTAAAGCCTTTTCAATTTGCAATGTGCAACGATTTGTATGAGCATATGGTTATCTTTCTATGTTCAGTAATGTAACAGATTTGTCGAGCACAATTATGAAGCACAACGGATAAATTGGATGTGGCTAGTACAGCGTACAGCGAACGTGTCGTTCTGAGCGCGATAGCAAAACGCCAGAAATATTGTGTCAGCCACCAGGCACCTGAGAACACAGAAATAGAACCGACAGGCACACTCGGTAGGTGCGTCGCCATGCTACGCTCATTCGAGCAAGGCTTTGAGTATTATTTTTAGAAGAAGGGGTTCCATATCCTCTTACGGGTATGCTCTAAGATCTTAGCAGGCGAAAAAGGCTCTCCAAGCATCGAGAATGAGGCTCAGGCTACACAATGTGGGTCGTGGATTCTTGGCGTCGTTCGCGATTCAACTATTTTTCCTTGTTTTCGCGTCTGCTGAGTCTTTTGATGCATCTTCCATCGGAGTCTGTTGGGGAAGAGTAGCATGGCAGCCATTACCTCCCCGAATCGTTGTGAAGCTTCTTCAGGTAGGTGTACTATTTCGTTTCCTTAACATGATCCGTACTTAGGATGTGCGTCCGATTCTTATAGCTTCTCTACAGGACAACAAAATATCGAAAGTGAAACTTTTCAATGCTGACCCGCAAGTCATGAAGGCCCTCGTTGGGTCCAAGTTGGAGGTAGGTTTCCTTTTCCCCTGCATTTTGCAACGTCCTTCTGCTCGGCAGTGTCCCTGATTTCTTTCTCATTAGGTGACTGTGATGGTAGCCAATGAGCTGCTGAACGACATGGCCATGAGTCCTAAGAAGGCTCAGGACTGGGTTGACTATAACGTCAAGAGATACGCGTTCCCAGGAGGCGCCGATATAAGGTAAGATTACCACCACTTTGCCAAGAGGCATGTTGAGCCCTTCGTCTGCGGCTAAGCGTGAACCTCTTTTCGTCTCAGATACGTCTCTGTCGGAAATGAGCCGTTTCTGACATGGGACAATGGAGAGTACAACCTCGTTTTGGCGCCAGCCGTTCAGAACATCTATGACTCTTTAAAGGCTGCTGGATTGGACCAGAAGATTAAGGTTACTGTCGCGTTCAATGCTGACGTCATGGGAACGTCATACCCTCCATCTAAAGCATCTTTCCGGCCAGACATCGCCAATCAGATGCGAAGAATTGTCTCACTATTCAGTGAAACCGGAGCCCCGTTTTCCGTAAATATCTACCCATTCCTTAACTTATATCAGCAACCAGGAGTCTTCACAATGGGTGATATTTTCCTGGATAGACTGAACGAGCGGAACTTCACAGACCCAGGGACTGGCTTGGTCTACACGAATGTGTTCGACAGCACTTACGATGCCATCTTGACAGCACTATCAAGGATCGGCTTTCCAGATGTAAGAGATCAAGTCTTTTTTCTCTGGTGTACCTTGTGGCATACTGACCGCTCCACTTGTTTGCTCACAGCTACAAATCATTATTGGTGAAATTGGCTGGCCTTCTGATGGGCAAGGTTCACTCAATGCATATGCCAACAATGCGTATGCACAAGAGTTCAACAATGCCATCATCCAGCACATGTTAAGCGGATCAGGCACGCCTTTGCGCCCTGCCAAGCAGATTGGAGGATTCATTTTTGGGTTACTGGATGAAGACATGAAAAGCACACTACCTGGAACCTTTGAGCGCCATTGGGGAATCTTCCGTGCCGATGGAACCCTAAAATACAACTTAGACCTCACAGGGAAAGGCAATCCGAATGCTCAGCTTGTGCCAGCAAAGGACGTGTCTTTCTTTTCACGACAGTGGTGTGTGGTGAAGCAAGGAGCCAACCCTGCAAATGTTGCAGCTGCTTTGACATACGTCTGTGGGGGGGATAAAAGTGTGGATTGCACTCCAATTCTTCCAGGAAGTTCATGCTACTTCAACAACAAACTGGAGGACGTTGCTTCATACGCTTTCAATTCATACTACCAGCTTCAGAACCAAAGCCAAGCATCCTGTGACTTTGGGGGTTCTGCTCAGGTTGTCAGCACTGATCCATCAAAGGATGGGTGCATCTTCTTTATTGGCATGGATCAAGCCAGCATGCTGAAAGCCTCTTCAAGGAAACACTGGATCACTCTGACACATGCAGCCTTTGGCAGTACCTTGGCAATGCTGCTGATATGGTTCCTTTGATTTATGCAAAGGGGGGGTGATTAACCAGGCACCACAATCACAGCCTTGTTTTAGAACCAAATGCACCTGTCTGACATGTTCTGAGAGGGAAGAATTGAGTGGAATGGTCAGAGTTGGCTTAGGGTAATGGTGAATGTTTTACGTTTGTGTGTGGCAGGTAGGTGCTGCAAGGTTATGGTGCTACCGGTACTTTACAGTACTGCTGATAACAAGCAAGTATGCACTGTTCAGACATTGAGAGAACCTGTCTGTCACCTAAAGCAAATACGGTACGGTACATGTGATCATGTCCTGTCACCACCACAGGCTGTAATTGTAGTGTAGTTGCTTGTTTTTATGAAAAGGCAAGTGTTTACATGCTGCAATATCAAGATTGTTATACCGTAGGTCATGTTAGAAAATCAGTGGGATGGGAAGCCTAGCAGTCAGTACGAGCAATGCAAAATTGAACACCAGTGTAGCGTAAACAGGCATCCGAACCCAGGCGAATTACATCAGTAGATGTACCAGTATGTTCTATCACCATTGATATGAAGGCAGGTAAGGTGGGGGAGTCACAGCTTCTCCCGCAGGTGGGGACAAGAATGCAGGTGAGGGAGGAGGGGGATACGCAGGCGGGGGAGGAGTGAAAGGTGGTGGTGCTGCTGGGAGAGGTGGAGGCGGAGAAGATGCAGGATAGGGGTATAATGGAGGGGGGGGTCCGGGAGGCAACGGGGGATAAGAAGAGCTGTCAGGCAGGGGAGGGGGAGGGCCAGCAGGAAGAGGCGGAAGAGGAGGATGGTTGGTTGTTCCAGGCGGGTAGAGTGTTTGTGATGGCGGGAGGTAAGGCATAGGAGCGGGAATTGCAGTGGGCTGGGTAGGAGGTGGGGGCTGAGGAGGATAGATCACAGACTGGCCATGACTGTACGTATACTGCAATGGTACTTGCGAATATCCTGGAGTCTGGGTGAAAGCTGCTGCTGCTCCGGAATAAGTGGTGGTTGAAGGTGGTGCTTCAGCGATAGCTCCTCTGGCTGCTGACCCTTGATTGTAGTCTTGGTACGTGTCCAGCTGCACATCACCGCCACCATCATCGCCACACTCACTCTCAATCCCAGCCGCCCATGACAGCACCGCCGAACTAGCACTAGCACCGACAACCCCCCTTGCGTCTTTAACCACTCCCACAATCCCTTCCCCCCTTGGAGGGGCAGCCTCAAAAGCAGAGAGAAAAGCAGAAGGCGGACTGGTAGCAGCACCACACGCACCTCCATATCGATCATTGGCTGAATCGTCATGTCGCCGTGATGATGTGTCGTAGCGGGATTGGTCCAGATAAGCCCCGTAGGAGCTGCTGCTGCCCACATGCCACCTGTCACGATCCAACTGCCACCGGTCAGAATCTGTGTCGCCAGCTCTGCTTCTCTCTCTTCCCTCATATGCACCTCTGTCATCCTCATGCCTAATAGGGCTCCACTCCTCCCTCCTCTTCTCATCCGCGTCCCTCTTTCTGTCGCTGCTCCTGTCTCTGTTCCTCTCCCTGCTCCAATCTTTGCTCCTCTCCTTACTCCTGTCTCTGTTTCTGTCCCTGCTCCTGTCTCTTCCTCTCTCCTTGCTTCTGTCTCTGCCCCTTTCCTTACTCGTCTCTCTTCTCCTCTCTCTGCTTCTCTCCTGCCGCCTCTCCCTGCTTCTGTCCCTTCCTCTCTCTCTGCTCCTGTCTCTGCCCCTCTCCCTGCTCCTGTCTTTGCCCCTCTCCCTGCTTCTGTCTCTGCCTCTCTCCCTGCTTCTGTCCCTTCCCCTCTCCTTGCTCCTGTCCCTTCTTCTGTCTCTATCCCCTTCCCTGTCCTTCTCACCATTCCTATCCCTTCCCGACCTTCCCTCCCTATCATTCTTACCTCCCTCTCTCTTCTCATCAGCAGAACCATCCCTAGCCATTCTCCTCCGCTTCCTCTCCCTCTCATCCTCATCCTTCCTTCCCTCCTTACCCCTCTCCCTCTCCTCCCTCTCTCGCCTCCTCCGCCGTTCCTCCTCCCACCTCTCATCCTCATACCTCAACCTCCTCCTCCTCTCACTCTCCTCCCAATCCGCCCGCCACCCCCTCCCTCCCCACGCATATTCATCCGCACCCTCAGGAGGAGGGGCATTCAGACCCGGAAACTCGACAGTAGGAACAAGGAAAGGTTCCGGTTCAGGAGTAGTTCCACGCCCCCCCTCCCCATCACCACCACCATCAGCATCAAGGGAACCTTCCTCAGAAGCATCGTCCAGCACAAGAGCAAGGGACTTGAACTCATTCGAATCTTCAACAGCAGCAGCAGCAGCAGCAGCAGCAGCTTTCTCGTTGACTGGTTTTCCTTCAGCGTTGGTCTCTGCTGGGATTTCTCCTGCCTCGCTATCAGTGTCCTCGCCCTCCTCCTTCGAAGCCTTCTCTGCTCCTGCTGCTGGTTCCTGGCCTTTCACCTCTGCCTTCTCCTCCTCTTGATCTGCTCATCAAAACACACACAGGAGCAGTCATTGGCAGGAAGCGTGAGGGCATGCATCACTGCAGTTGAGCAGATTTGAAACAAAAAGAGGCTGGGAAAGAAATGGAAACCCGGAGAAAGAGCTGGTCAAAGGGAGGAACAAATCAGCTCCAGACAAAAATACAGGAGGGAGAAAGGGGGGGGGGGGGGGATAGGGAGAGAACGCAATGAGCTAGAGGCCTAAGGAATCGCCCAGCCGAAGAAACGAGACAGTTTACAGCCTGGATAGCCAGGCGGGTGGCCTGGCTCTCAAATTGGGTTTCAAATTGCTCATCTTGAGATAGATCTTGAGTCAACTCCATCTAGTCGGGGCAAAACTTACAGCCAAGATAGCCAGGAGGGTAGCCCAGCTCCCTCATTCGCCTGAGCCATGGAGGGGGGTCACGATCCTGGAGAGGAGGCGGGGATGAAAGGAAGCAAAGGGGGATGTAGAGAGTTGCGTTTTCATGGCCACAGCGAGCAAACCAGGATGGTACCCCAGTTCCCTCATTCGCCTGAGCCACGGAGGAGGGTCGCGATCCTGCAGAGGAGGGGGACACAAAAAGCAATGGAGATTTGTGAATGGGGTTTATGGTGATTAGGCAGGAGAGAAGGAGGTGCGTGAGGAGGGAGGGGGGAGGAAAGCATCCCTATGTCCATGGTAACACACAGCTCCGCACGCACTCAGCACACCTGGCAGCAGCCCCTGAACCTGAACCTGAAATACCCTCCATCCCTCCTTGAGCCTCACCTTTACCAGCGCACAAACTCATCTCAAGCCCCCTAGCTTATACCAAATCACTCACCCCTATGCCCATGGCAGCACGCAGTTCCACACTCAGCACACCCGGCAGCAGCCCCTGAACCTGACCTGGACCGCCCCCTCCATCTGTCCTCGAGTCTCACCTTTACCAGCAGCAGCACGCACAAGCCCACCTCAAACCCATCTCACGCATGCCGGACCACTCACCCCTATGCCCATGGCAGCCCGCAGCTCCGCACTCAGCACGCCCGGCACGAGCCCTTCAAACCGCTCCTCCATCGATCCTCCTCTCCCCTTCCCACCCCCTGCCCCTCCAAACCCGTAATACCTCGACTTCCCCACCCCTCCCTCCCCAGCAGCACTGTTCCCGCCCTTCCCACCCTGCCCGCCCTGCCCCTTCCCCCCTGCGTGTTCTGCCCGGGCAGCTGCTACAGCTGCATGGTCCCTTGGGCGCTGACAGTCCCGCAGGGCGTGAGTGTAGGAACCGCAGTTGAAGCAGCGGGCGGCAGATTTTAACTTGAGCGCCTCTTCTGTGAGGGAGGAGTCGGAGTGGAGGAAGAGGGGTGTGAGGCTGGAAAGGTCTCCTCCTGCTGCTGCTGCTGCTGCTGTCGCTTCTGCCGCTCCTGCTGCTGCTGCTGCTGCTGATGCTGTTGCTGCTTCTGTTGCTGTGTCAGAGGGAGCGTTAGCGTCATTTTCTGTCTCGTTACTGCCTGCACCTACACCGGCGCTCCTGCTGCTGTTGCTGCTGTAGTTGATGCCTAAAACGACGCCTGATTCTGACCTATCATAGAGAGGCACGTCGTTGGCTGTGCTGTAGTGCTTATTGAACGTGACACCACTGCGAACCCCTGCCAGAACCACACCGCTGCTGCTGAGCTTTGCCTTTGCTGCGTCACTGGCAACAACTGCGGCAGCAGCTGCAGCAACAGAGCCTGCAACAGCAGCGCTCACAGCAGCACTGGGAAAGGACTCATCACCAGTGGAATCTTCAGCAGCAGCAGGGACACCAGCAGCTTGGCCATCACCACTACGAGATGCCACAGCACCTGCCGCATCAGCACCAGCGTCAGCACGTGCATCCACAGCCGTAGCGGCACCAGCAGCACCAGGAGAGCCAGTAGAAGGTTCAGCCGCACCAGATGGCGGTTGTAATTGCTTTGGAGGAAGTGAAGGGGAGGGCAGGGGCTTGGGTGGGGGTAGAGAAGCCCATACACGCTGCATGGGAGGAGCAAGGAGGGGAAAGGAAAGGAAAGGGGAGACGAGAAATCAAAGAGGTGAGAAATTGAAGGGAAAGAAACCGTCTACGCACGAGAAAGCACGCACGCACATCAATCCAGAAAACTGGCCAGCAAAAAACACATTGGTCCAGTGTACGAGTTTAGTATACCCCGGACTGTATGCAAGGCATGTGGGCTTAACCAGGATGGAATGTATCACTCGAATTTTCAGGGCGTGAACGAACGTAACTAGGCATCCGCTCGCCCGTACCCAAAACAACACGAGGTCAGCCAAGACCTTTCAGACCACCAAGAAGAGAGAAAAAAAAAACCATGATTGGTGCTACAGCAAACGCCGATCCAATCCAGCCACCAAAAAAAAAAAAAAAAAAAAAAAAAAAAAACCCACCACAAAAAGAAAGCAAGCAACCCACCAGTGGTGCTATGGATCCACGCTCTGAAGCCCCAGGAGAGCGAAACGAACCCAAAGGACCAAGGCGAGAGAGCACAGAGGGGACTGCTGCAGAGGAGGGCCCAGAGGAAGGGAAGTAGACGTCCGTTCCACTCAGTCTTGTGCTCTGATGCTCCTCCTGACCCTCGCGTTCCTGCACGTGCCATCCATAAGATAGAGGAGAGGAGAGGAGAGGAGAGGAGAGGGATGAAGAGAGAAGAGGAGATGAGACGAACAAGAGGAAGCCACAAGCTGCAATTGGTCCAGTGGTAGATGGCAGCACGGGATGATACATTATAGTTTCAAATTACAGGAGAAAGCCTTTGGTTGAGCAGTGTATTTGTGCTTACAGTGGATTAAAATTATTCTCAAACATGATCGGGTCTGTGGTCAGGTTAAAGTGGATATAGTCTGTGCTTACAGCGAAAGGGGTTTGAGTGGACTCCCATGATGACCACGAGGACAGAAGGTTCTGAAGATGGTCCAAACTTGCTCTGAGATCACATCAAAATTGCACATTCGCAGACATGTCAGGCGCATCACAACAGGCGCAAGGCCAGTCACAGACATAGTCACAGTCCAGTTTGCCAAAGATCATGAGCATAGGAGGATGGAATGTGCATAACTACAGGGTCTTTAGACAGCCTTGCATCACCTTGCCTCGGTAATTCATACAGAGATATGATTGGCACAAGACCAGCAATGAACCTACTGCACGTGTTTCTTGTAAAGAAGGCATGAATGTTGGACAAAGGCCACATGAATGACAGACAAATGTCACGTGAATGTTAGACGTCTGTGTCACGTAATGCCAGACAAAAATGTAACTTCAAATGACAGGCAACGATGTCAGGAAACGTCAGACTAATGTCACATGAACATCAAACAAATGTCACATGACTTTCACTTCACACAAGTCTCAGTGCTTACTTTGACAGATTCTCGTAGTGCACACGCACATATGGCCCTTTCTCCCAACCTCGTCGTCGCTTGCGGTGGTGGTGGTGCAAATGGGGTGCTTGTGATGCACCCTCCATAGCACCCACACTCAACTCGGAGTAGTCACCGCCGAGTAACTGCTAACAAATCAAGGGAGGAAACAAGTCACGGTTTCCGGTAATTAAATTATGGGTGATCAAATAAACTAACACGAGAACATCTAGCAAAAAAAAACAAGAATAGCGAAATTGGCTGGAGTAGCGAGAAGAAACAGGAATATCCGACTAACTGAGTGGAGAATGTAGCGACGAGAAAATAAGTAACGAGATGAGAAGGGTTGAGAGGAGTAGAAAGGCATCGTAAAAGGAAAGCGAAGCGCGATGAAGGTCGGATGGTTCGAAACAAGCATGGTATGATGAACTGACATTGACAACTCGAAGATCGTCACGGGTTTGGAGAACGCGAGAAAAACACCACCACGAAGCTTGCAGACTGGCTGAGGAGGAACAAAAAGCGCACGAAAAGCTAAGTATAGACAGACGCTAGGAGCCGACGACGCCACTCTTCAACTAATCGAACCAGGAGTTAGGAGTTCAGATTAGGACGACCCGAAACGAGCTCCCTGCGAGTTCATGTCTGGCTGTAGGAGATCGATAAGCGGAGACTACTGATGGAAAAAATGACCTACGGCATGTGAGAAATCAGAAGCTCGGATTATTTACAGCAGTTCAAAATCAGGTCAGGAGTGATCACCTTTTCACCGTGTCTTGCAGGAGGGTTAGAGGCATTTCAGTAGGTTAGAGCAATATAGCATGGATGCAGTGTGGCGACGAGTCGACCTTACACCACCTCGAGATTACTACCCGCGTGGCGCAAATAGGTCACCTCTTTCCGTTAGTGTGGTTGAGAAGTTTGCTTCGGATTCCTGATGGTTTACAAGGGTGTTGAGACGGTTAAGTAAGTTGTGATCTTCGATCGCGGGGGGGGAACTGATTACGTCCGATCTGGTTTCGGAGCGTTCGTTTTGACAAGATCGAGGTGGCTTCTTGTTACCGGTGCAATGAATCGAAGTAGCGAGAATTGCACTAAGGTGTCAAACGAGTACAAAATGTGAGCAAAAGGCATGAGCGAACATTTATGCGCGAAACATGCAAACGGTAACGCGGTGCGTGCGAGCTAGCTAGTGCTATGCTGGAAGCGAGGCTCGGGCTAGTCCCGAAGCGTAGGCCGACACGACCAGGCCAGCAGTGCGAGGTTTGGTGAAACAGTGCGCGCGAAGTCGGTGAAGTCCCGTTAGCAGTAACGGGCGAGCAACGGCTGTTGCTGTGCGCGATGTTGCAGGGCGCGCTAAGGAATATCGAGAAAATTCCTTACACTACCCCCCCCCCCCCCCCCCCCCCCCCCCCCCCCCCCCCTCAAGAAGCCTCCTCTGCTACGCGAGTGCGTGTATATCGCGGAAACCCCGGCTCCTCATGTACACTTGCAGGGCAGGGTGGTTTACAATGTTGGCCATGGGCACCTACCTAGCTATCTTCAGTTGGCGTGAGATCCTTCCAGCGAATGCGGAAATCAATCCTCCTGATTCCTGTGCGGTGTCAAATCCGATGGCTCGGGATTTTTTCGGGCTCGATGATCGGCTCCGATGCAGGGCAAGTCATGGATGGCGGGCGGTGACCAGGGCCTCAGATTCCATGAATTTTACCCTGATTTCCTGATGTTTGACCCCAGTTTTTTATTGTAACCCTGATGAATCAGCCTTTTTGTTTTTACAACCCTGATGAATCAGTGTTTTTCTTTTCCTAATCCTGATTTTCCAGTGTTTCTAGTTTGTCGACACTGACGAGTCAGTGTTGTATCGGATGTTGGGAACAACAAGTCTTAAACGCCTCTGTCGTGTCGAAACTCAGGACACAAGCGAAGCAGCTCAAATCGAAGCATCACGAGTCAACCCTCGAAGGTTAGGGTAACCGCTGGAGGTTACGCGAAGGTCAAAGGTCGGCGACCTTTGACTTGACAAAAGCAGCGCGACAGCAAGGACATACAACTGACTCGACATTGAGCAGTTGCCCGAGTCGCACTGTATCGAATCGCAACAGTAAAACAGTTTAATTGTATCTATTCGTATTCCTTGTACTCTTATATAAACCTTTGTATTTGCTTGTTTTAATCAACTTACTTTGCCCTCACATACTAGCGCAAGGTGGTTCAAGGAATTTTATTCAAACGCTTCCGCTATTACATCATCCTACTCAGACTTGAACTCTACAAAGATCCTAGGGCACCTCAGCCCAACATGGTATGAGAGCAAGTTAGAGTTCAAAGTTATTTTTCTTCAACACTCAATACAAAGAAGACATGTCTGCTAGAAAGGAGAGGAGCTCCTCCAACGGCTCTCCCGGCACTACCCCTACTCCACCTCCTGTCTCTGGCCTACAGACAGAGGAAGGAACAACCACGAGACCAGCAGCTGGGTCTACGGAAACACCCGCGGGCTTCGATCCAAGTATGATGGAGAAGTTTTTCTCCTTCATGTCCTTCTACGAGCAGCATCAGCAAGGAGTACCTGCGCAGTCAAACAACAGCAACAACAACAACGTGACACCCATGAGTCTCGACGGCTCATCCTACGCACGCGGGAATCAACAACAACAACAACCTACCTTCGCTCCGTACGAGCCCCAGCGTGGCTCCGTCAGCTTCATGCCGCAACCGCAATCTGCACCGGGACAAGAAAGAGCACTAGACGCATTACAAGTTCAATCGCAATTCGCGCATGTCCTAAAGCTTCAAACGACAAAACCCTTCGACGGAAAAGATTTCTTCACCTGGTCGTTCGAATTCGAGCTGATGATGGAAGGAGCACAGATCCTTGGCTTCTTCGACGGGTCCCTGCCATATCCAACAAACGGCACGCAGTATGAGAAGCAGCAGTACACCTATCAATCAATGATGGCGTACACAATACTATTGAGGAACATCACCCCGACCCAGCAGCAGAATATCAGAACTTACCGAGGCTACGGGAACTCCGCGGAGCTCGCATACAACCACTTGAAGAACCTGTATCAAGCAACAGACAGTGTAAATCAAAGCCGGTTAATGGCGCAGCTGATAACAATCGAAATGAAACCAGGGGAGAAAGGCATGGCATATATCAGTCGCTGCCGCGAACTGCGCGACAAGCTTCTTCGATGCGGAGGATCAATTTCAGAAGACGCTTTCGTCACGGTAGTCATCGGCGGTCTTGGCCCCCACTGGCGCTCCACTCGCGCCATACTACGAGCACACGGGAGAATCTCCGAAGCAGCACTCTGCGCCGAAATCCATGCCGAGCAGCAGGACATGGACCTGCAAGAAGAACGACACAAGAAGAAAACGTTAGTACCAGAGTTCGCGTTTCACACTCAGCGACGCTACAACAACAACAACAACCGGCAACAACAACAAGTGAAGACAGTACCTCCGTTCTGCCACATCTGCAAGACTTCAGGTCACCCTCGTACGCACTGCCCGTCTCGTCAGCAATCGACAACACCACAGCGACAACCTCGGCCTTCAAGCTCCCAAGTCACCTCAACGCAAGCTAATCCGGCAACTTAAATCCAAGCTTCAACGACTACAACAGGACAACCTGCACACGGAGCAAGAAACATCGTCAATTGTATGGTGAAGATAACAGACTCCTGCACAACCGAGTCACCACCTCACTTCACACCAGAAGAACAACTCGACAACAGCACGCCTCGCCGCGAGTCACTCCAGCCGAACCCGACGTACGCTGCCATCGCTCAAAGCGAACCGTCCGGACAAGACACTTGGTTCTTGGACAGTTGCTGTGGACAACACATGTGCTCCTCAGGACGCTTCGTTCAACGCGAACATCGACTTCAACGAGAGGTAGTCATCACGCTCGCCAACAACCAGAACCTGCGCACACGACGACAAGGAGTAGTACAACTTCAGTCACGAGAGACAAACGTTATATTGCACATGTCAAAGGTACTTATCGCGGAGGGACTCGGCTACAACTTACTAAGCGTCAGCCAGTTGATGGCGAAAGGCATCCACTTGGAAGCCGACAGCACCACCCAGGAGTTTAAGCTGTACCACGGGAAGGGCGATCTCTACATCAGAAAGGCGATTTTGAAGAACAATGTCTTCGTCCTTGATTTCGTCCCAGACCTGGGCACTGCAGACAGCGATGCCATCGTCAACTTCGCCGATTGGACACATCCCCCGGATCTCGATCCCGACTTCAGCCCGGGAGGCTTCTGGTATTCGCATACCATCCCTGAAGCAGAACGAACACGCGCGTTAGCAGCAATTCAACATTCGACAGCAGCAGAGACAACATCGGCAGCAGTAGAGACAACACCGGCAGCAGCAGAAACATCATCGGCAGCAGCAGGACCAACGACACCAGTCCTCGTCAACGAAGCACCACCAACACCCGCACAACAGCTGAACCCAACTCAACGAGAAGTCCATAGAAGCGCGAACTTCGTCGCCAACTTCTACTCCAACTCCGACGCGTATCGACGCTCACCCGGACATCGCGCCTCTGAAGACATCTGGCACGCACGCATGGGACATCCAAGCAACACCGTGTTAAATAATACAATAAGAGCAGGAGTACTAGACAAGGATTCATTACTACTACCCGACGGCAGAGAACTTCAACGGGCACGAGGAACTTGCCTCACCTGCCCCGAAGCCGACTTACCACATCGACCGTTTACTCCTCACCACAACCCGAGCGCACCCACGTACGCACCACTCGAGAAGGTGTACAGCGATATTCTCTTCAATCGAGAACCAGGACAAGTTACTTACAACTACACGATAACCTTTATCGATGCCGCCACTCGATACGTCTGGCACCGAAACCTACCCAGCCGCGACATGGCACTCGCAGCATTCGCCGCTTGGCTACCAGTAGCAGAGAGAGAGTCGGGAACACAACTGAAAAGCTTCCAGTCAGACAGAGGAGGAGAATACACCTCTCAGCGATTCAAGCAGTACCTGGCGGAAAGGGGAATCAAGCAACTCCTCTCCCTTCCCTACGCCCATCAGCAGCAAGGTGTCGCAGAAAGAATGAACAGGACCTTACAGAACAGCATGCGCAAACTGCTACGTGGCATGCGGCTACCCAACCACCAGTGGCCTGCAGCAATGGACCATGCTGTCATGCTGCACAACTTGTTGTCGTCGTCCTCACTTTCGAACAACGCATCACCGCATCTGCTGTGGACAGGGAAGCAGGGCAGCACAAAAATGTTACGAGTTTTCGGGTGCATGGTACAGTACCGACCCCCAGAAGCACGAGCGGGAAGATTTTCACAACGGGCACAGTGGGGACTACACCTCGGCATCGAAAAGAATTACAACGCGTGGAAAATCTTCGACGTCCACTCAAAGGAAACAGTAGCAGCACGTGATGTGATCTTCTACGAGCGACTCACACTTCAGACGTACCTCGCCAACTTGCACGAAAATCAGGACCCCACAGGTGGCTTTTGTGGTGACCGAGCCTTCGCCTCAGCAGCGGACGAAGAAGACTGGGACGAGCAGAACGTCGACAACGCATCGGAAGAAGCCGGACCTCTACCGTTCTGCTCCGTCGACGTCCCCATGGACGACGAAAATCCTCGCGACAGTGTCAACGCCGAAGTTTTCTACCACTTCGCCGACAACGGTTACGTAACACCTGCGACGGTCAACACAAACGAAGCAGAACGGATAGGGCCGAATTTCATACCCGACCCAGAAGCGGGAGACGAAACAGCTT